GTCAATAACTTATGTCTTCGTTATTCCGTGAGTATGTACACTCGTCTAGGGGTTCTCCGATATACAAATGTAGGCGAAACCTGGAAATACGCCTGTAGAATAAAGCTCCGGAAGTCGGAACCTTAAATTGACCGTACTGAGTCTCCAAACTAAACAATTTCAATGAACGTTGAATTTTCCAATCTAAATATTATGTGACTAGAAGAGCCAGGAGAGGCCCTTGGTGTAAATCTTCTTCCAGCCAGACAAGTTCTGGTTCTCGATGATCATCATAGCCACATATTCGGCCTCTTCGCGGTCGATTTCGGCCTTGCCGGTCCAGATATCAGCATTGTGGGGCTTGATAAACTCAGTCCGCTTCCAGATCTTCCACCCGGCAAATGCCATAACATAGAGGGGAATTCCGATATAGGAAGTGATAAAGGTCTTGTAGTCGAAATTGCCGTAGGTTTCCGAGTTGTGGATGAACACACCGAAGCTGCGAGTGAAGACCACCAAGACACAGAAAAACAGCGCAACGAAGGAACCAATGATTCCCAGAGGAGCTTTGTAGGCCAGTGTAGACTCGTCGACACCCTGTGCACGTCGGGCGCGAATGAAGAAGATGTGAGTGATCAAGAGGGAGATCCATGTCAACACTGTGATAGGTCAGAATACTGGACAACTTCGAATCATTGGGAGAGTGGGGAGAAGGGAACATACATCCGAAGATTGACACCATGTCAGTGAAGTATCCAAAGACAGGCTTGGAGCCACTGGAAACACTCATAAATGCGAGCAAGCAGAAAGAAGACGAGAGTCCCAGAGCATAGATTGGGACACCAGCTCGGTTAGTGCGAGCAAAGATTTGAGGGGCCTTCTTCTCACGGGCAAGACCGTACAGGGTACGAGTTGCAATGTACAGATCAGAGTTAGCGGCAGAGAATACAAAGACCAGGATACAGCCGTTGATGATGTGAGGAAGCGCAGCGACTTGCTTCATTGCCACCACGAAAGGTGAGGCGGCAGCAGAGCTCTTGGCCTTGGTGGCGAAAATCAGATCCGGGGAGTTGTATGGGACCAACATGCCGAGGAAGAGCACACTGAGAATGTAGAACACGATAATTCGCCAGAAGGTGAGCTTGATAGCTTTGGGGATGGTCTTCCGGGGGTTCTGGGCCTCTCCGACGGTCACACCAATCAGTTCAGTACCTGTAAAAAAGCAAATTAGAAGGTGAAAGGAGGGGGGATTTCAGTCATAGGATGTCCGTACCGAGGAATGCAAAGGTGGCCTGCACCATTGTCGACCAGAAGGCAAGGAATTTTCCAAGGTTACCATCGACATATTTAGTGGCGAAGGCGCCGGGCTCACTCCAGTAGCGGAAACCTCTCCTGTCGTGGTCGGGACCACCGCCAAGTGCGAAGATGAAAGAGCACAGAATGAGTCCCAGAATGACAATCACCTTGAAAGACGAGAGCCAAAACTCTAATTCACCGAAAATCTTCACGCCGAAGTAGTTGATCGTGATGATTGCCACCATGAAGATGGCAATCCATACACCGGGGTTGACATTCTCAGCTGAAGTTTTCGGCCAATAGGTAATGACTAGAGCCGCTGCAGTGAGTTGCGTAGGTGGTAGAATAATATATTTGAGGTAGTAGCTAGGAGAATGGTTAGACATTTCTTTTTTATATTAGCTTGAGAATATTACTCACCACCATCCGAGGGTGAAACCGAGAGCAGGGTCACAGAAACGGCCAGCGTAACCAGTGAAACCGGAGGACAAGGGTAGCCAAGCAGCCATTTCACCCAGTCCACACATGACCGTCCAAACGACGAAGCCCATAAAGCAGTAAGCAATAAGCAAAGATCCAGGCTGGGGAACGGTTAGTCATAGTCAACAGCAAAGATGAGGGTCAATAAAAACATACTCCGGCTCTAAAGGTTTCAGTTAGTAGTGTTTCATAAATGATTTTCATTTAAAAACTCACGTCAAAGCGCTGCCAGTACCGACAACCAATCCAGTACCAATGGCACCACCAATGGCAATCATGGAAATATGACGAGCCTTGAGCTCTCTCTTAAGTTCAACGGGCTCATCCTGTCCACCTTCTTTGAAATCCCCCGAGTTATCAATGTAGGTAGGCTGTGACTCGAGAGCGTTGATCTCATCGGGGTGACCCATCTTGATATAGGTCGGATTGACCAAGAATCACAAGTATGAGAAGAAATGATCAGACTCCGCAACTCTGAGGGGGGAGACGGGTTAAATGAACCAACGCACATTTTTAAGCGAAATTCCGGGGTCAAATTTTACCATTATCTCTCTTTCGCCCCTTCTACTAGTGGAGATAAAATCCTGGAGAGGCCTAGTGACTAAGATTCTAGGAGATAATGTGGGGTATGGCAGGTACACGATCCCCGGGTCATTATTGCTCTGTTAACGTAACTTTTTCCCCAAGGTGGAGGCAAATGGTGAGGTGCGCGATATACTTCGGGCCCTTTCGGGGTTATTGGGGTTATTGGCCTGCATATCTTATATTGTTATGGTTTCTTATTATTTCCCCCGCAATATGTTTCTCCACAGATTCGAAAATGAAGTTGAATGTGTTCCTGTTGTCCGTAGATTCCAAGCCGGGTCCGCTTACAAAGTCCTATATAGCCCCCCGGCCCCTTGGGGCCGTCCACGGCCTAGAGGGCTTACCTTCTATAGCCCGCTTAAAAAAAACTCTATACTGGAGGGCAACTATAACCCTTCTCCCAATATATGGTCCGCAATCATGCATTAAGCTTCCCTAAATGCATTGTAGAATTATATGAAACCTTTATCTCTATTTATCTCTATGAATTGATACCGGTATCTTCATAGACGCTAATTGTTGCCGCTTTTGTTCCGAGTATGTCCCGACCTCGGGGCTTCGGGGTGCCAAGCGCACCAACGCTGGGTGGCGGTGTTGGCGCGCTTGGCGGTGGTATCGGTGCACTTGGCACGGCTACCCTCGGGCCAAGTGCCCCAAACCTTGGAAGAAAAAATAGGCTTAAATGGGAGGCAAATGTTCCAAAAGGTTATTGAGAGGTGTGCACGGCCTCTGGATTTCGCTTGACAACTCGGATTTTTGCGAAAGATACATGTTCTATTGGAAATTATAGTGTAGCGTTTTGGCAGAGGAATGGGCTAGCTAATTTTCGATCTACCCGTGCATTCCGCATCCTACGAGGCGTAAACTTTGTATACAGGTAATCGTGCCAAGCACGGCCGGGTATAGTGTTGGGCGCTTGGCACGGTTAATACCAGACGTTCACCGAGTTGAGATGAATTTTTCCTTGACCCAGTGGTTGCCTCCCAAGAAATCATTCAGGCACAGAAGCTTCTAGAACTTTTATGGTCTTTTCAGCCGGAGAAAGCTACGGGCTATACAACACACGTGCTCCGTACCGTGGCTCGCTCAATTAGTCTTTGCATCCAGCCGTTTCCCCGGGACTCCATACTGTAGGTCGCATACCAATCATCTGGGAAAAACCCTGTTAATCCACTCGGGCACTGACTGGCCAAGACTTTTGTTCTGGTTATCATGGGAGAAGCTCGGTGATATCTATTACCAAATACTTGTTGAGAAGACTTAAGCTTATCGCAAAGACACAGCCTCACAGGCTTTGACTCTTATATTTTTAATTAGATTGCTCTATATTATTAATATTTTTTTTTTCTAGGCAAATACTCTCACCGAAGATGAAGCATGGGTGTGTGGACCAAGATATAGATTTTGGTCTCGTCCCCTCTCTCGTAGTTGGAAATATGCCCTAAAAAACAATAGAACAGCGCGAGGTCAGTATATATTCTAAAACTTTAGGTTGTGCCTCATAATATAAATAATTATTCAGGGTGGTCAGTATCCAATTAAGCTTTCTAAGTTCGTGTTTCAAGGTAATAAGCTTTTAAACGTATTCCTATTAGGGTTAATCTTGGCTAATTTCCTAATTTGGGGATTACTAGTAAGACAAGGCTGATAGGTTGCATACTACGGTTTCGGTTCAAAGCTGGGACATCTACTTGGGAAATATACGTACTACTTTGTCAGGGTAGAAGCCTCTTGCCTATAAGAATCTAATCGTGATAGATCTCACTCTCGCTTCCTCTTCTTTTCTGTGCTTCTCTTCTGTTTTCCTCTACATTTCCTAGACTTTGTCACTTCTTTTTTCTAAGGCTCTAGGCTCCTTACACGTGTGACCTTCCTGAAGTGGTTAGAGAGAGCAAAGATACAAAATAACGCTAAGCCTTGGTTTGTTGGATACATACTACACCGGTCTCCCATGTGTAGAAAATAACTCAGGTTGATGAGGGCCAGAAAGCCATTTGATTATTGAAGAATTAGACGAAGTTTAGTCACATTGTTTTTATTTTGTCCCACTCCGTAAAAATGAATGGATTGAATATCAGACTTTGGTATGAGTAATAAGGATGAAAGCTCTCAAGGCTAAGTAATCCAAGGTCACCTTATATCCCACAACAGGCATCATGTGGTGTCCATTTTCATTATTTACGTAAAGAACCTCTCCATACTCAGCATCGCGAGGGAAATGATGGATATATGCCTGAATAGGTACTTCACAAACTTCAGTCATCGGCTGTTCTCCGCTTCATTGTTTCCCTTCACAACAGTATAAGAATGATGTGAAGTCCTCATAGTCTTTGTTATGTACTCTCATCTCTACCTTCCTGTTGCTATTTACATTCCTTTCTATCAATCGATTGAATCTATCAAGATTGACCAAAGGAAAGTCGTTTCATGATGCGGAGTCCCTTCCGACCCACGTCTTTGATAACATCTATCATCCTTTTAGAAAGTCATTTACCAAACGCCCACCCGACTCCCCTCCGCATCTCAGGCCAAAAGCAGATATGGAAATGCTGAGGATGGAAAACTAGGTGCAGTTGCAAGTGAACGTGCGCTCTGTAAATGGAGGCAATACCGCCGACGCTGTAAGTGTATCCTCTTTTCATGCATGTCTCAGTATACCCATGAGCGTATGAATGGTCCAACTACTGGGCTTGAAGTATAGTTGGTAACCACCTTTCTCTGTATTGGAGTCACCGGTAGGGTATAATCACTACTATCCAGAGCATTATCCACGCGGTCAATGAAGGACTTTCTGCGGCGGAGGCCCTTGCTCGTCCTCGCCTGCATGATCAGCTGGTGCTGAACCAAGTTCTCTTGGATTATGATTACGACAATTCCACCGTGGCGTACATGAAGCAACGTGGACACAATGTGACCTGGGTTAATCCTCGCCTACCTGACTGGAGTGAGGCCCAAGCTATCCGAGTGCTAAAAAATGGGAATTTTGATGCAGCAGGGGAGCCGAGACAGTCGAACTCCGGTGGCTTTGCAGTATAATGTCAGGCTATAGTATATTGGTGTCTGCATTTTTAGAACTTGCTGTGAATAGAAAATGTGGATAAATGATGTGTGGCTCAATGGAGACGGAGGGAAAAAAGAACTACCAACAACATGATCTATGCAACTACACGATCCATGCCGTGGAATTGATGAGCTGCGTCTGGTAAAAATTTGCCAGCGCCACTACCGAAGGGCTTTAGGGTGAACACACAAAAGTCACAACTAGAAATAGCTCAACACAGTTTGCAGAATATGAAACTCTGAGATTGGTTTCTCTCCAGGGCTTCCGATCGGGAAATCCTCCCCTATGATTGGCCCATCGTTGGATCAGACATATCTATATCTGACATCACTGTAGTGAACACATTCCAAGGGGTGAATTTGTGACCATGTCCTTGAAATTATCCCCTTTACATCGCGTTGAGCACCTCATAAATGGCCCAAAAAAGAGAGTCGCCATTATCGGCGCGGGTGCTGCCGGCATGTCATGCGCTTCTACTCTAGCTAAACATCCGGAATTTGCAGTTACTCTTATCGACACAGAAGGCTACACCGGTGGTCAAGCAACTTCTATTGATATAGATGAATCGACACATGGCGCCAGTTGGTTGAATGATGGCGTTCAAGGGGGTTCGCAGATTTTCCGGCATACATTTCAATTCTTTCGTCGTTATGGCTATGAGCCTCAGCCGGTGAAGCTTCAAGTGGCCTTTGGAAAGGGCAAAGACTTTTGGACCAATGTCTTTCCTAGTCATCTAGTCGACGAACATTCATCAGAGATCAAGAAACTTTCGCGGGTTCTATCTTGCATCAAATACTTGATGCCCATTCTGGGAATCATGCCAGTCAAGATAATTCTACGACTATTCCGCTTTAGCAGTGACTTCAGCAACAAGATGATCTTGCCTCTGCTGGCTTTGTTCTTGGGCACGGGGAATCAAACTCCTAATGTGTCGAGTGTTCTGCTGGAACGTCTCTTCAATGACCCCCAGATGAAGCTCTGGGAGTATGATCCTGACACACTCTTGCCCAATCTTCCTACCATGTACACATTCCCAAACTTAAGCAACTTTTATCGTGACTGGACGTCAGATCTGCGCGAGAAGGGCGTTCAAATTCGGCTTAACTGTCGCCCAAGCATCATAGAGCGCGGGAAGAAAGGAGTCGTGCTGCAACTGCAAGATCATGATGATGGTCAAGCAAAAGGGAATCCATTAATCGAAAAGTTCGACGAGTTAGTCATGTGTTGCCCTGCAGATGAAGCGAAGAGGTTACTGGACCACCACGCTACATGGCGTGAGAAATATGTTTTGGGTGGCGTCAAGTTCTACAACGACATCACCATAACCCATTCGGACTCAGCATACTTCCAGAAAATCTTTGAGATGCAATATGATCCAGAGCTATCAGCGGAACCATCTTCTGAAACACGAAAAGAGCAAATAGCATTCGCTGAGCAGCAGCCCGTGAACCAAAAGGATGGCTGGCTAGGATTCCACCCGATGTACTTCACACGCTCCTACGCATCTGACCCCGGCAAGATAGAAATGGGCTTTAACTGCAGCCACTACCAACACCAATTTCGTGAAAACTTAGGCGAGAACAAGCCGCCACTACCGCAAGACCAGCAAGTGTTTCAGACAATCTTCTTGGTATGTCAATACCTCTGCAAAAGCACAACGGGCTTTGGCTGATACTCATTTTGTTAGAATGACCAAGAAAAGGATCTCTGGACATGGAACGACATTGATCCATCAAAAATTATATCGTACGTTCAACTGAATCACTATACAAGACATATTTTTGACAATACCTAGTCGCAAATGGTGGCACCAGTTTGGTCATCGGTGGCAACACTATCTTCGAGTTGTTCCGGGAATGATGTTCATTAATGGCACCAACCGAACATTGTACGCTGGAAGTTGGACTATGGTGGTGAGTTGTTCGTCCATGTCATCATCTACGAGGCTCACATTTTGTACAGAATATGCACGAGATTGCATGTATCTCTGGAATTGCAGCAGCTTATCAACTTGGTGCTGACTATGAAGTGTTCGATGACTTTGCCGAAGATTTCTTTGCTAAGTACTTGTTAGTGTGTCATGCGACAAGATACAAGAAGACCAAGACCAAGAATAGATGAAGATTCATTAGGAATTTTTTGTTCAGGTTTATCAAAAACTAATCAATTTAAAGCATATACCGGAAAGCTCTGATGTCGAAGTCTTGCCGGATAGATCATCCTATAGTAAAGGTGAGGTTTTATTGGAAGGTAGAATACTCTCGAGCCACCTAAATTCGATATATAGAGCGACATATGTGGGTTTATTGAAAGCCAGTATATGAGACATTTATTTGAATTCTTTTGAATGGATATTCTGACAGGCAAAAAAAAAGGGAACAGACCAATCAAAGTGAGAGTAAAAACAAAATATCAGACCCTGAAGCTTGATATTGATATACAAAGTAAAAAAGACACATAAAAACTCCACGGCGGGTCAGGTTGAACCACTTAAGTTTACCATGCACTATGGCCACAGAGGCAAAAAAACAGTCCACCATATCATTGGTTTTAGAGATTAACGGCGGTACCACATGCGTGTGATTCTGGTGTGTCTCATCTTCTTCTGCAGCTGGAAGATACCGTACATCAATGCCTCGGAAGTGGGTGGGCCTTGGTTTTTGTTAGTCAATTGCAATTGCAATAGCACAAGCGTGAAGGAAAAGGAAAAGCTTACATCCAGGCACGTAGATATCGACCGGCACAACCCGGTCACAACCGCGCACGACCGAGTAACTGTAGTGGTAGTAGCCACCACCGTTGGCACAACTGCCCATGCTGATAACCCACCGGGGGTCGGGCATTTGATCATAAACCTGGCGGAGAGCAGGGGCCATCTTGTTCGTCAATGTACCGGCCACAATCATAACATCGGACTGACGCGGAGAAGCACGGAAAATGATTCCAAGACGATCCTGATCGTAACGGGGGGTAGAAAGGTGCATCATCTCTACGGCGCAGCATGCAAGACCGAAGGTCATGGGCCACAAGGAGCTTTGACGAGCCCAATTGGCAACCTGATCGAGGGTGGTCCTGAGTAATATAAGGTCAGCGGAAGTTCAAGGCGCATACAAGATGGAAACCACAGAGGGCAAACGAACAAGGCATATTGCATAGCACCCTCCTTCTTCTCCTGACTAGGCAAAGGCACCTCTCGGCGAGCCTTGCCGGACGCGGTCAATTGCTGGGCGCCTGCTGAAGGTTGACGCTCGACCGCTGTCGCTGATTTGATTGACGAAGTCGAGAGGGCAGCCAAGGGCTGGGCACGGGGAAGAGAGGCAACGAAACGGGGTCGCGCAGCTGTTTTTTGTTAGTGAATTGACGTCGTCATCGAGGTGAAGAAGATCCCTACCGGACAGAGCGCCAGAGATGGCGGGCCTCGCCATCGGAAACATCTTGAGAAAAGTCTCTCCGGTGGAGAGGGACAACTAGAATAAAAGGTCGTGATCCCGGAGGTTAAAGAGACAAGGTGATTGCCTCGGCCGGTGGCGATATGTAATATGGAATCACAAGAGGGCAGAGGTGGCGGGCTCCGGGTAACTGCAAGACAAGGAGAACCCCAAAAAGGTTCCGATTCCAGAGTGGAAGAAGATGATGTATACCGGCGGTTTGGGAGAGATGATGTAAGCTATTATCTCCCATTTCATTGGTTCAGCGGCTGTATTTTTCGGTCACAGAACGTAGTATGGTAAAAGCGGTGAGATGCTCGTAAATCCAATTGCCTGTGTGGTCATTGGCTCTGAGCTCCTTTTGCTGCCTCGATGCCTGAACGCGTCTGCTCCATACGTTAGGCCGCGGGGGATTGGAGACGACCACTCCACTACTGTCTACGCTTTGATTGCAAAGTACCTGTCCTTTGAAAGGGCTGCTCGATTTCAGAGCATTGTGGACATGATATGGAGAGATAATACCTACCCAGATTAGAACTTTCACCCGATCACAGTGTCGAGACAAGGGAATCAGTCCCTAAACTCCAAGAGCCCAAGTGATTGCGCCCAGTCCGGATACATTGTCACTTCAAGAGCTATCTTAGAAATGTCGGGCCCCAAAATTGCCTGTATTGGCGTGATTGGGAAGGCAGTATGTATCACTCGGCCAACTTGTCCCTCTGGAATTGCCCATACTAAGACGATTGCAGGATAACCCTCTTCACATTTCCCTCTTTCCCCCATATTCAGATTCCACTATCGAATTCTCCTTCTTACTGAACTCCTGCCTCGACATTTTCGATATCCGCTGCAAACAAACATCCATTGATCAGGACCTAGGCCTGTTACATGCAATTGACGAACGGCTTGCGGCCTATGGATGGTTGACAACCACGGGAGTAAAACTATTGATAATTGTGGATTTATTCGGCCAGGAAGAGACCAGCGCTGGAAAGCAAGCAGGCGCTGCGATCAATGGCCTCAGAGATTCTGACGTTAAGCCGGTACGTTCTTCCTCTATGCGCGGCGAATATTTTATCTCCTGAAAAGAGCCTCTCCTCTAATCCTTGAATACAGGCATTCCGCGCATTACAGAGTGCGTATATTCAGCTTTTGCAGAATCCATTCTATTCCCCCGATGACCACGTACCGATTCCTGGGAATACGGCTTCTTCTTTGTCCGCTTGCCAGCCAATCTCTAACCTAAAGTTCGTCGCGGATGTGAAACGTATTGGGGATTCGTGGGCTCCAGGTACTTCTCTGTAGGGGAAGTGGTGATGACAGAATTAAGGATACAGATAATACCCAAGTCAACCAGTTTCCCCAACTTATATTCGCATTAGACAGCAACAATCTCAGCAAACTGTTCGGGAAATAGCTATATTATTTCTTGGGCCAATAAGTTACTATGGACTTCCACTTCAAATGGTATATAAGTCATAGGGATTCTGAATATAATAGAACAGACAGCAAAAAGATGATCATTTTGTCACCATGCTAGATTGGGTTGGTACCCGTGGACCTAGTCTTCAGTTTGGACTTCAGTCTGCTCCAGGGCAACCATGATCTCTGACATTTCACGAGGATTGCAAACAGCCCACACGCCACCACCTTTGGTGTCAACTCTCCCAACCTCTTTGCCAACCAAGTTCCTGCCGACCTTTCCTGGTCCAATTCCGATCCAACGCCTCACGCCTCGCTCCTGATGAAGATAGCGAATGCTATCCCACCATCTCACTGTATCAGTGCACTGTCTTGAAAGTCGATCTTTGATGTCTTCCTTGGACTGAAAGGGCAAGGCGGAAACATTTGATATGCATGGGACTGATGCCGGAAATGTGATGTTGATTTTCTCGATAGCATCCCTCATATAATCCGCAGCTAGCGCCATAGCAGGGCTATGAAATGGGCTGTCACTTTTCAGCCTGACAGCCCGTGGGTCGTGACCTCCAAATTGGCGCATTTGGACCAGAAGGATTTTGATTCGGTCAAGACTACCACTTAGCACGATTTGATTTTTCGAGTTGATGTTTGCGACCACCACTTGTTGAATTGATGGGATCCGGTTATCCCTGTCGATTTCAATACCCGGCGACTCGAGGCCAATGAATTCCTGAACCGTTCGAAGCAGACCTTCCAGGTGCTCGGGTTCACAGAGAAGTGCAACCATGCCATATGTTTCACCTGATTGCTCGGTCAACTGGCGCGTACACTGGGCCATCATTTCAGCCCGACCACGAACTAATTGTAAAGCGTCCCCGAATTCGAGATAGCCACCGGCAACCAAAGCGGAGAACTCCCCGAGGCTATGTCCAAGCGTAACATCGACCCGAGATTTAGTGTCGAATCCGAACTCCTGCTCCAGAATACGAAGTATCAGGACTGAGATTGCCATAACTGCAGGCTGTGCATTTTCCGTTTTGTTGAGCTTCGAGTTGGGGCCATCGGATATAATACTGGACAGTTTGAACCCGAGGGTGCTATCCATCTCGTCCAAAACCTTAGCCGCGGTATGGGGGAAACTTTCTATCCAGGTGTTGGCCATGCCAACCCTTTGGACTCCATGTCCTGTTGTGTATTAGCGGTCATTTGAGCCTCAGAGGTAAAAGGGGGTTGGGGCGGTACGAACCCGGGAAAAAGAGGGCAGTGTGCAGGTCTCGTCTTAAGGGCAGCACATTAATGTTTGTTGGTCTTGAAGGCGTAGCCAAAACTTGCGCGGCATGCGCAATGGATCTTAGTCGGAGGTGACCTCTGGGATGCAAGCGTGAGAGCATCATCTCTATAGTTGCAGCCCTAAGCAACCCTTGGGGGCCTTGATCTTGACCGTATCAATACAGCATATGAGCATGGTTGCTATTTCGTAGTCGTCAGGGTGAGATACGCTATCCCATGGAGCGAGGGAGTGTTGTTCTTTAGTCCATGCTGATGTTTATGAAGGGAGCAGTGGACTCCGCGTGGGGTTAGATGTGGGATTCACGTGAGCTCCTTTTTTCGGGGTAATCGGCTATGCAAAGATTTCCACCTATAATCATCAACTGTGTACGGAGTACTACTAGACTAAACTAGACCTACAATTATAGCTTAAGATGGTCCTTATATGCCATACCGACTCTACCCATATTCCGAGAACCAATATGCACCTGTTTAACTACGTACTTGTACCTCATACAATATAGCTAAATACCTAATTGAGATTGGTGTACTATTGTATGCTATTGGTATTTCCTTAATACCGATGATTGCCCAAGTATACAGAGCCCCACATCTCAATAAGCAGAGTAGGCTCGATTCATATAAAATATTACTTTGAAGTCAATTAAAATTTCTTTTTGTTTACGAGATGTAATTCTAGAAGATATTTGGATCGTAAATACTTTCTACAAGGTACACACGTATATAATACAAATCATAATGTACAAATTGTAGTACTACATGTAACTTATACATGCATTGTACCAACCTGTACAATAGGGTACTGTCTCACCGCCTTCGGACAAACATCCTCGATTGTTATTGACCAACACTATCGGCTGCTATCACCGTGCTCCAATTCAAACGCATCTTCTTAGGAGAGCTTTCTTCTCCCTTTATCTTTTTTCATTCTCTCCCCTCCAACCCTACATCAACCTTAAAGGGTGAACCGGACCCCAAGGGTCAACGATCTTCGAAGCTTTCGCCGGCTAGCGTGTTCGCGACTACAGGTTGCGTACATATTGAAAATGTTCGTCCCTAAAGCCGGTGGTCGCAATACTCGTCGACGCCAGCGAACAAGCTCAGATGACTCTGTCAACCCACCGAAGGCCAAGAGACAGCGCTCCGTCCTGCGACGCCCAGACGAATCCCCTTCCGATACCAACCTTGGGCGTGAGCTCGCAAAATTAGCAACCCCCACTGCGCCAAATGGTGACCTTACCCCTACGGATCAGATCAACGCCGAGTCGCATCTATCAACCCGTGTTGTAAAACAAGGCGATGGATCTGTAAACAATAATGAGGGGACAATCGTTCTGGTGGGTTACTCGCATATTCTTGCGCGTTTCTTCAAACCCCCAAGTCCAAAGTGCTAACTTGCTGGGTTCAAAGTCAAGCACCGATTTTTACACCGTTGAGCAACTGCCCTCTTTGCCAGATCAAATTCGTGGCTTACAATCAGGTACCTAAAATCACATAGCTTTTCCTCACGTTGGGTTGCGGTTTGTTGACACTCACCCTTTGAACGCAGAACCGCTCAAGTGCTTTTTCGGACCAGGTCATGCTCACGCACTAGCTTTGACTCGCTCGCATGCCATCGTGTGGCCCTATTCTGCGCCTGCTTCGTCCCCATCTCCGTCGGAGACGTTCACGGTATCGATTCCGGAGTCTTGCAGAGATCCCAAAGGCGCCGTCCCACTCGGAGTTCTATTATCCACGGCTACAGGAGACCACCCCGGGCTCTTGGTGATCATCCCATCTACAGGAAAAGTCATTTACTGGGAGACTGTGTCCAGCGCCGCGTCGCTGGGTTTATCCCGACAAAAGCAGAATGGCATCCAAGGATCCACCCCTGGCATGCTTTCCGGTGAGTATGCCACGGAAATACTCAATGCGGAGCCTTCAGGAATCATCGCTACATTCTCGTCCGGGCGAGTGGCACACATCACCCTGAGGGACCCCCAGGGAAAGCCTTCGGTGCTCGTGAATTTCCTCAGAAGCACTGCAGGGACTGGAGGCGGTGGAATTTTCGGGGGCATCAAGAGCGTATTCGCAGGCGGGTCCTGGAGAAAAGAGGTCACTGCCGTTCGGGCCGGTGGTTCCCACCAACGTGGCCAGCGAGATGTCATTATTGCAACTTCGACCGGACTGGTTGAGATATGGGACACGCATTGGAACCACGGGAATACCCTCAAAAAACGATACGATCTCAAGGATGAAATCCTGGCGGCTCTCCCTGAAAATCACACGAACTCGACAAATGATCCAGAGCTCAAATTCGTGGACTTTGCGTTCTCTGCCCTGCAGTATTCCGACGATGCTGTTCAACTTTCCGATGGGTCCTGGCGCCTCTTTCTGGTTGTCAGGTCGCCTCAATGGTTAGAAACTAGGGAGCTATTCGTGGTTCAAGTTCACTTGTCAGGAAACGAATCTCGGGTCATGTCAACGCATGCTGTGGATCTTCGCCATATTTCTCCATCCCTCCTCGAAACCTCGAAACCCAAGATATTTGTCCCGAAGCCAGAAGAAACCGCGTTCATCCTTATTGGCCAGTCTCTTGTTATCTTGTCGTTGACAAGTGTCGAAGAGAGCCCATCCTCACAACTGCTTCTCGATTCCAACAAGTTGCCTCTACCTTTCCAAGACATCATCCACTTGCGCTCTGGCACCGACCACGAAATACTGGGCTCCATCTCAGAGGACCAATCGAACGATACGCCTTGCGCAGCATGTGTGCTCATGCTTCGGAATTTCGGTGTTATTCGTGTGACGGCACTTCCTCGCCCTGGAACAGAACAGGATGTCGACGAGCCTCAAGTCACAGCAAAGCACAAGCTTGAGCAGGCGGTTTTCTTTGGGACCATGGCAAAGAATCCGTTGAATCTATCCAGCGAAGGCGACTTGAACTTCCCTCCATCGGAAATGGAGCAAGCATCTTTGGAAATCTGCAGGGAGCTGCTTCAATCCGAGACTCGCTTCATTCCCACCACTGCTATTTCACTAGAGCAAAATCTCCGGTTGAGAGCAAAGGCACTGGATGACCTTGCCTCATTGCTATCACGCCAAGGCAATCCTTTGAGTCGACCGGCAAAGTGGGAGTTGCTGTGGGCTGCGGAAAAAATTGCAGCACAAAGAGCCATGTGGAAGATTCAAGAGGCCTGCAAGAACAAGAATGGAGACGAGGAGCCTTTCCTCGGCCATGTCATTGGATCCATGCACGATAAATTCAAGACCCCAATCAACCCCCAACACGGAGAGACCGATCCGGTGCGTCAATGGTTCCTGAGAGACTCTTACCGCATGGAGCATATCATCCCATGGATCAAGAACGCAATCAAGATTGGCCGGGGCAACACTTCCAACCCTGCGCGTGCGTTGTCAGAGAAGATCCTGGCAGCTAGTGAACTGTTCCTGGCTGTCACGGAGACTGCTTTCCGATATCGCGATGAGCACGTTGTACTTTATGGTCTTCGTGAGGACTTCCTGGAGGATGGTGTGCTTTCCGATGGATATGAAGATCTTCCCGAGTTCTGGACATCAAGAGCTGTTGGTTACTCTGAAGCAGGGCATTTACTCGATTTAGAACTGGATAGTTGCCGGTCGTGGAAAACACCCGCATCGGCTGCAGATGCCCCTGACACACATGTTTTGAATCAAGTTGCGAAGAACAGCTATCGACACCTTCGTGTGATCGGTCAAATGCATCGCGAACGAACTCGATGGCTTTCTGCCCAAGGAGATCCCAAATTAATGGATGAGAGTGTCGCGATTGAGCAGACCCATGTTGAAGACCGCAAATGGCAACTCTTCAAGCTGGCTGGTATCGATCATCTTGCCGATGCGGTCGAGCTGGCAGAAAGCTTCGGAGACATGGGAGCGTTGGTCGAGTTGATCATCGAGCTTCAAGACCAAAAGGCAAATCAACATTCGCGTTCAGATCCCTCAAATGATGTTTCCAATCAAACTGAGATCGATGCCGACCAATTGATCGCCAAGTATTTCGACAAATTCGGTGACCAATGGGCGGATGCATACTTCTCCCGGCAAATCGCGATGGGTTATCCAGGAATTCTGTTTACCATGCGAAAATACCAAACTGCCATCACTCGATTCCTTCGAAGTAACCCCGCATATTCTCGCCTGAGCTGGATTAACGATGTCACCGGCGAAGACGACTATGACACCGCCGCAGCCTCATTGGAGAATCTAGCGCTTGGTGAGAAAGACTTGTGGAGCCACCGGGTAGAGATCTCGCTAGCCAAGCTAGGCAAACTAGCGACGCAGGAGCGAATGGATTCTCCCGTTGTGACTTCTACTTTGCAAGAGGATGTGAAACGTCTTGATGACTACGTTGAGGTCGATGGGATCCAAGACATCCTCTATGGGCACATGGAGCCTATTCTGCAGGGTGCTATTGACCGAAAGGCAGAAGTTGAACTAGCGATCGGTCACTATGGAGATCATATCTTCGAAGATCGGCCATCGCTTCATGAAATCTTGAGCGATGCTCTCTCTACCTTGATTGACCGGCAGGTTGTCGGTGCCGATGGCCTGATTGATATCTTGACCTTGATGGGTCCTGCTCAGCTCGCAGATGATGGAGAGAGCGAGTTTGTACGAAGCGAGTTCCATCTTGCCTTGCAGGCTCTTGACTATGGACGATATGGCCAGCGAGACCCATCCTACCTCATGGCTTTGCAGAGGTTGATCTGGCGACGGTGCTTGATCAAAGATGATTGGGTAGCTCGGGGCAAGGCTGCTGAGGGGGCCAACGGCAATACACACAACTCGGTCGCCGACACGGCGCTCTACCGATCGCTAACTGCATGCTTGGGAGGTGAGTTTGTTCCAACCCCCAACACTTTTGACTATCGATCTAACATAATATGTCTAGAACCTCGAAATGCTGGTCTGCACTCTCTCTACACACCTCTCTCGCCGGCAGAGGCTCTGATGACTGATTCCGATTCCGATATTCTTGTCTCACGGTTCCGCCCAGAGCAAAAGTCTCGTGTGGCATCCGATCTTAAGACCGAAAATGATATTTTGCGCGAGTGCATTGAGGTCGGAAAACTTGATTTCTGGTTCCAAAACCTCCGGGAAACTGCAGAGGTCCACATCTCACCCCCGAAATAGACCTATGATTGACGGTGAAGTTGCTGGAGCAAACGATTGAATTTTCTCTACAATTGAGGCGGGTTGGGGTTGAAATGGCGTTTTCGATATTGTTACTCAGTTATCCAGTGGCCAATGGGTCATAATATGTTGTATGTATGAAATCTCAAGAGATCTTTCAATGTATTCGTTCAGGCCTTCAGTAAACCCTAAAGCTACGTTGTATTTGATCACAGACCCTCGATCTTACAATGAAATATGAATGTTATGTTGATTCAGGTTGTTTTCTCATACTGTCATACAATAGATATCGGTTCCCCGGGTCACCGAGCCATGACCCTTGAGGTTACCTTGTTCATGTTCCGGCCTACTTAGTATCCAGAGGTTGGAGTTATCAAATCGCCACAGCCATCGCCGAGACTCCCTAATACTTCCTTCCCTCATGGTCAGCCACGCTATCACTGCTGCTGGCACTCTCGACCTTGGTCACGGCATTATCATTCACAACCATGTCCTTGTCATCCATAGCCTCTTCCTCAAAGACAGGCTCTGGTTCAAAGGCCTCGAACTTGGTATTGAAGTCGGCTAGACCCTGGGTGCTACTGTTGGATCGACGCCTAGCATTGGCAAAGGAGTAGTCAGTGTCCTGCATTTCGTCACCCGATCGGCCCCTATGATGATAGGAAGCATTAGCTAGATGGAAAACAGATGGTTCTGAGATGCATTGATTACCAATTGCCTTTGCCACCCCCGTCTTTCTTTGTCTTGCGAGGATCAGCGTCAGTTGGGCCCGACTTTGCAAAGTAGCGTGGTATATTGTCACGGGTACCCATCATGCCTTCGGCTTGGTGTTCACGGTCGTTGGATTTGTGTGAACGAGTCACTAGATGTTGGTTTGGGTTAGTAGGATGGCTAGTGGATTGGCATATATAGATTGATGCCAAGGAATGGAAGTATATCATATATGAGATGAGTACTTACTTTCAATGTAGATTGAATAGAAGATTGAATAGAAGATAATGAATTGAAGAGATGGGAAAGAGAAAAACAAAGAACATGCAATTTAAGAGGGGGGCGTAGGCTCGTGACCTCATACCTTCCAGAGAGAATGCGGGGGGACTCCAACCTTTATTTCCTTTTATGGAAGATCGACATATGGACCTTGATATATAATAGTAAGAATAGTAAGAATAGTAGGAATAGTAGGAATAGTAGTATTTGATGAGACATCTATTTCTTGTTCTCTCCAATTGTCAACACTCGAGGAATTGCCCCGAGGAATTGTGGAACCATACTTCCTATTTTGAGGGTAGCTAGCATTCATGGATATCAATTCGGTAAATAGTATGAAAAAAACATATGACTAGGCATAAACAGTTGCTTGGCCTGCTAGAACCTATGTCCGCATTTTCCATATCTATGATGGTTCCGTCCGCTGGGACTTCCCGATTATATATTATCTATATATCACTTTTACTATGCGTCGTATATGTAGAGCTACACCAGCACTGTAAAACGACTATTATATTTTCAATATCTCGGATTTATCTCCTTTTTCTTTTTCCTAGTGTCATATTATCTCTAGTTCTTTAGGCGTGCAAAAAGTATTTACGTAAATAATTCACGGCTGTCGCCGAATGAAGACCTTGCTTCCTCGATGTCAACGAGCACACACCAATCTACGAGAAAACTAATTTCAAACATGGAGATATGAAAGTCTGTCCTTTTTTACACCTATCCTTTTACTCAACTCGGGAGAATAGCTCTCTGTTTTGCCTCAAACCCAGAAGGAATCCTACCACACAAATATTTCCTCCCCAACATAGATATGTAGGCCACCCATATTTATGATCTCGGGATTTAAACCACTTGAATAATCCTCCAAAGTCAAAGAAACCGTGGCCAATGAAGGGGCTCAACATCCGGACGCCGAAGCTTGAGGGGTATTCTCAGATAGTACATGATCTGCTTGACTTATACTTGGCACGAAAAAAAACACACTCTTGTATTTAAGCAGTTGCATTTCGCAATAATAGTTATGTCTAAAGCTATTTCGGGACGTTCAACTCCAGGAAACACCTTAACGGGACTAAGTTTCTTCGAGTTTAGCGGGGAATTTTAGCGGAGTAACTTAGTCCTATCAAACGTATTTACATACACAATCACAAGGCCACCAATGAGTATCTATAATATTACATCCACTTTAATGCGTTTTATTTTATTTTAAGGCCTGAGACTTCGAACAACCGCAAATGATAGACGGCAATGCTGTTATGTAGTGCATCTATATCAGAACTTTGGAACATAGCATATAGAACTACAACGGTGGTCCTTCATTTGAAAGACCAACGTTAGACCGATGGGGAACTGGAACTGACTCTTGTCGCTCTCCACAGTTCGCACTAGACACACGGAAGATGAACCGAATATGTATTATGGGGTGTATTATGGGGGCGAATGAAGTACAGACGAAGCAGGTAACAATGGCATCTAGTTGTACCAAGCATTATGCCCTCGAACAAGCAGGTGGGTCTACACAATGCACCTTACTACACGGTAGCAGGAAGAATATTGAACATGAATGAACTACTACCCTTGAATTTTTGGGATCATGTCTAAGACTGGTAACGCGTAGCTAAAAGTTCCACGCCAGTTCGAATCTGTCATACACGTTTGAACTTTTTTCTTTTCCTATGACCAGAAGACAATGATTTGTCCCGGCTGACCAGTACGTGACACCACTTCATTGACATAACCTTTAAACATTCTCGAGAACGGTCTCCTTGAACTCACGCTCAACCTTCTGGCCCTTGTCATCAGTCGCGGACTCGCCGTGCAGAGCAAGGAGAGCACCGAGATCGAACTTGGGGGACTTCAGGAGCTTAACCTTGCGAATGTGAACCTGTAGAAATATGTGTTAGCAACCCGTATATGCAAATCTCCAGGGAAGAAAAACGAACATTCTGCAGGGGGTAGATGCCCTGGGTGGACTTCTCGATCTCACGTCCAATAACCTCGGGGATGAGCTTGTGGGTGAGCTGAGACAGAGTGCAGGTGGAAGCCTCGCGCTGGATGATCTCGACCATCTTCTTGCGGATGGCACGGATCTGGGAGGAAGCGGCGTAGGTGGTCTTCTTGATCTGGTTGGGGCGTCTCTTGGTGAAGGCAATGGCGAACAGGCGGAGGAGGTAGTCGTCAGTGGTCTTCACGGTGATGTTGGCCTCAATCAGAGTCTGCCACTTGCGGACAAGAGAACGGAGCTTGTCGGTGGTGAAGTCGAGACCGTGGAAGTTGGTCAGGCAGTTCTTGCCCTGGATCTCATCGACGCGGAGCTTGACCTTGCGGAAGGCGTGGTCCTCATCGTTCTGGAGGTCGGCGAGGGAGACCTCGAAGACACGGCCCTTGAGGGAGTCGTTGGCGTTCTTCAGACCGCTGGTGCGGTTGACCAGAGTCTTACCGACACTGATAATTCCGTTAGCCAATCCAACTCTAAATTCGCCATGTTCGATTCGGGTGTTGCATACTCGCGGGTCTGGAAGGTGGAAGGAGCCTGGCGAGAAGGATTAGCATTGTGCATAGGGGGATATTGGTGAGAGGAATAGAACACACCTTCACGGAGTACTCGTCCTTGCGAGTGAAGGGGTCGACTGTGCGCTTCTTGATACCCTTCTTACCCTTAGATAAACGCTTGTTCCTGAACGATGAGGATTAGCCGTCGGTTCGTGAATTCAATGGATGTCGTAGATGCGCAAGTAATTCGATAAATGGAAAGCAGGAAAAGGATGAAGAATAGGGCGCTTACTTTCCAACAGCCATGATTGCGAGTCGTATCTGTGTGTTGTTGGAAGACAGACAAAGGTATCGCACCGCGCGCTCAGAGGGTTTCGACACTCGACTGGGAGGGTTGAAAACCCACAGAAAACTCGGCTAAGCGAGTGCGCGGGCCCTAGCTGATTATGTCATACACTAATATCATGTGATCGAACATTAAAAAAAGGTCCACCTGGGCACATGATCATTATGTCATCATATTAGGTCAGCACCCCAATGCGTCTGTCAGATTACATGTATTATATCCATAGAAAGATCGCTGGCCGTTACAATATAGGCCCTACGCTATTGGCGCTAAACTATTCCTTATAAATTTCATGCACTGCTAATGTGTATATTTGTATACTTATGTATCATATTGGTATACTCCGTACCATTTGCCAAAATCCTTTTTCCTCAATCGGTATTGAACTCCAAGGTTTCACATTACATCTAGACTTCCAACATCATAGTGTAGTATTGTACAATGTAGATCGCTGTGCGAATCGTCACTAACTGACATCACATATCGGAATATGGAGGCTTATTGTTCCGATTCCCAATTAGGAACATCGTCTTGGCATCCATGGCTGCGGGCCTACTCCTGCTCTCCGCGCGAGTCAACACTCATTGCTTCACCTTTCCTCTCATCCCTTTTTCTATTTCAAATCCTGTGTCGCAGGTTAACACAAGTATGGTATGTGCCATTATTTTCCCCCTACCCGACTGTCCCGATCATCCCGACCGTGGATAGATGTTGATTTCTACAGGGCAAGCGCAAGAAGTCAAGCTCGAAGCCTCAAGGGCCCCGAAAGGTAAGTAAATCATAAGTCGCCCGGTTTTGTACCTAGTACTGACCATATAACACAGAGGGAGCCTCTTGCTACCACGTTTTCCTGTCTATTTTGCAACCATGAGAACTCTGTGGTCGTCAAGTTAGACAAGAAGCTTGGCCTAGGCGATCTATCGTGCAAAGTTTGTGGCCAAAAGTTCCAAACTGGTATCAATTGTGAGTTTGATAATCATCCCAAGTTATCAGTCCCAACTCTTCTAACACAAATCTTTCGAAGATCTCTCTGCCCCCGTGGATGTATATTCGGATTGGGTAGATGCATGTGATGCAGTTGCGAAGGATACTGCCAACCAATATGACGCACCGAACCCGAGCCAGTTGGGACAAAGAGGGATCAGCAAGAGCATTCCAGAAGAGACTGGGCAGGGCGATGACTATGATGACTACTGATCATGGGATGACGGCGAACGGCGCATTAAGGCATATCAACAATAATTGAGTGAGATTCTTGTATGTACATGGTATTTGATATTCTTGCTGCATATTCTTGTTGCATATGCTTATCATATATCCCAAACCCCAAGTGTCTCACCCTATCTAGACCATCTAGACCTCTACCCCCACTACCGGCCATCAAGTCAACTCTGAATAGGCGACTTGTATGGCGACGTGGAAGTGCCTTATGGCATCTGAAACAGATCGAGCAATGGATGGATATTGGAATACTGAATTTCTCAGAATTTCCAGGTGACCCTATAACCACCGATGTTCCTTTCAACGTGGAAACAGCACTTTTACATAGAGTAATATCTGTCGCCGAAATCTCCCAGGCCAGGGATAATATACCTATCAATCAGTCAGCATGGCAATCACAACATCCACGGTGCAATATTCTCACTTCTTCTCATCCAATCCTTCATCAATGAAAGAGGTCACAACCCGGAGCTTAGGGAACCTCTCCGCAAACTCAGCAACACCAGACGGGCTAGCAATGAGGTTGAGGAAGAGGATCCGGTGCTCAGGAACACCTCTCTCGATCAGTGTCTCGACAGCAAGAGTGGCAGAACCACCTGGTAAAAAAAAAAAAAGAAAATCAGCTGGTTGGCTAGAGGCATTACAGAATAATCTCAACTCACCAGTTGCAAACATAGGGTCCAGAAGAAGGACCCAGCGATCAGCAATGTCAGTAGGGAGCTTATCGTAAAACAGTTTGGGCATGCAAGTCTCCTCGTCACGCTGGATGAGAATTTTTCCAATGCGAACAGATCGGCAGCAGTCGCGCAATCCTTGTTCCATGGCCTCGCCAGCGCGCATAATAGACACACCACAGATCTTTCCTTCAAACTTGACACCAAGGTAGGACCGTCCAACGGGAGTAGTGATAGACTGCTCAACAACGGGGAGGTGGTTCAAGCCTTCCTCCACCAACAACCGAATGATGCGGTTAGAATAGAAGATGAAATCGGCACGGCTAGTTCTCTTGTCTCTGATCATCCTATTTGTACAAAATATGAGTCTAGGGTTACCTTCAAATACAAGAAATGGGTCCTCACGTCAAGAGAGCAATCAACTGGGGTGTTTGAGGTAGCACGTGGACATTCTCGTAGGAGACTTCCTTTGAGACAGTCGCAGTGGGCTTCTCGCCATCGGCACGGTACAGAGGACCAACGCCCTGCGCAGGAGAAGGAACTGTCTCTTTGCTAGCCATGATTTTGCTGGGTCCAAAGATATGTGTGTGTGTGAGAGAGTGGGTCGGGACTGAAGAGAAAAAAAAGAGACGTTAGAATATGGGAATCACCGGAAGTTGCCCCCCCTATAGAGTAGTTCTGTACCTTTTAAACAAGAATTCAGAGAGGGGTAGAAAAGGATCAGGGTCCTTTAAAAAGCCAAGAGCGGGGAAGTATATGGGTTTTTCTTATCTCTTTTTTTTTCTATACAAAAGGGAAGAGAGAGCTATACCGCAGTGGGTGATTCTGCCCCATCTCGCCCCCCTCCGCTCTTATCATCTCGGATCTCCGGGTTTATCTCATTACTCTTCTTAAAGGAAATCACTAGGTAATTTTACTGCTTAGCTCTTTGATGACTGCGCCACATCATTTGAGCATGTGAGATTGAAACTCGAAGGAAATGGCTCAAGAAACTACGTTTCACTTAATCTATTAATCCAATTGCTCCTTGATTGCCCTTGGGGAAATCGGATTTCTCGGTCTAATTTATCAAACACGTGCGCACACCTAGTCTTGCCCGCTTGACTCGAAGATGGACAACTCATACACTCGGAATCGACGACTCGCAACCTATGGCTCTGCGGCCAAGAGTCAACCTCCATCGAATACCGAAAAACCTGTGCGCTCATCTGCCTCTAGAACAACCAAAGAAATGCCTTTGCCAAGGCCGTCGCGTCTCTCGCGGCCATACTACACCGGGTTACAGCGCGACAAGAATGGGGATAAACCGTCTGGATCGGTGGAAACGGCCAGGACTCGAGGTCTTGCGCAACCCAAACCCACTACAGAATCTAATGTCTATGACTTCCCTTCTTCAGACGATGAGCAGATGTCCATGGTCCAGAGAAAGCGAAGGCGATATAGCCCGGATGGAAACAAGGCCGTTCTTGCGACTAGATCGGTGAAGCCAAGCGACGCAGAGAATGGAGATCGCAATGGGTCACCACAAATGGGGAAGAGGGTGCCAGATGTCCGGAGGCCATTGGCCAAAAAGCTAGAAGCCGACCAGGAGACAAGCTCCGTGAGATCGACAAAGGGTGGGAGGTCTGTGCGGAGCCAGACTAAGATATCTGCTCGCGATCGTGAAATGAGAGTGTCAACCGATGAGAGCTTGGAGGATGCAGAGTCCGTGCGAAAGAGCTCGCCGGAAATCAACCAGGGCTATGCCACTAAAGCGAACATCACCCCTGGTCGAAAGAGACTGATTGACTCGCTCGGGATCACCGAAAACCCAATTGAAACTTCCCCAGCGGTTGAAACTTCAACAGAGAGCCCCTCTGGTAGCCAGCCGTCCCCGAATCCAATATCTCCCGACCGAGCTTCGCCAAGTGCTGTGAATGAGAGTCCTGCCGAAAACCACATTCAAGGCTCCCCGGCCTCAGTCCCATCTCATTTACGAGGCTCCCGGGTCACCTATGCACGCCAGCGTTCCTTTTTGGATGACATGATTACGTCAGAGGACCTTTCGACAGACAATGCTCCTTCTGGCCCGAAATACCGCTCTCAATCCGTTCAACGTCAATTGAATTACGAAGCTACTTCCACTGCCCGTTTAATTGTACCAAATGAGGATATCAATGAGGATGGATCTGTACGAAGTATTCATGAACTCAGACAAGCTGGGGGAAACGCTCGTTATCGAGGCGCTGTCGAATCCATCTTTGAGGATATTGAAGATCCGCAAAACTCGTTAACGGGTCAATGCAATGCCTTCCTTCAACTGTGTGGCAAGCTTCTGGATACGGGGCTCAAGCGGCGGTTTGTCGAATGCAATTTTGACAAAAGACTTGTGGATTGCCTGTCCATGGACCTTCAGGTGGTCCCCACTATTTTAGCTTTCTGTGCCTACGCACTGGGCTCATCGGATGGACACATGTCTTATGTTCTTGCAACTTCCGCATGGCCTAAGCTTCTCGATGCATCACCTGCCTTATTGAGCATGCAAGACGATATACTAGTGGCTGTAAAAGCTCAAGCTAGACTTTCTCCGCCCTTGCAAAAGACACTCCAGAACACCATTCCACAAATAGCTGCTATGCTGTTTCCTGATACTGCTTTGTCGAAACTATCCACCTGTACTTTGGCGTTGTATTGCCTGAAATCGACGATTTCCACAATGCAAACCAAAGGCGAGAGCCCTAGTCTTTCCACGTCTCTTCTGAAACCGTTGGTCCAAGCGCTCGTGTCCGAAAGTCAACGTTGTGTTTCGTTGAAAAAAATATCCCCCGAGAGCTCCCAGATACTGTGCATGGGCTTTTCAATCCTGGAAGCTTCTACTGCATTGGCTGAGTCGTTCACAAAAGAGCATTGGGATATCCTAGACCCGCTCTCTGAGCTGCATAGTCTGCTCTGTTTGGAGCCGGGCACTGTCAGCCAAATACAACCCCTCTACATTCGACTTATCTTAAACATCACCAACAGCAACCCCCTTCTCTGTGATAGATTTGCAAACCCGGAGATGGTTGGGGGACTGGTCCACATTGTCTCTGCAAACTTTGGTGATTTGACCGAAGATGCGCTTGGACAAGCGAATAATTCTCTGGACAGCGTGATATTGGCGCTCGGCGCACTTATCAATTTGACTGAACAGAGTGAAGCATCACGGTCGATCTTTCTTCACTCTGCCGGGTCCTCAAGGCCTTTCCTTGATCAACTCTTGCATTTATTCATGACTCACGTCGAATCCATCTCCACAGTAAGTTTTTGATCTATTTTGGTTTCCCTTTGTGCCGACGCATTGAACTAACTGGATCTGCTCAGGCTCATTCGGTCTTGGAAGTACACCACAATGTTGCTCTGGGATATTTGGCTGTCCTTTTACTAACACTCAGCTTGGATCCCGAGACTCGGTCCAAAATCAAGAGCTCACTCGCCCCCCACGGATTGACAACGGTGATATCTACCGTTGATGAATTCCTGCAATACCATCAAAAGATCGAACAAGAGATCTCCACTTTTCCAACCCAGGGACAACCGGCGAGTGGATTCCTGTCCAGATTACAAGAACTTATCACTCGGATTCGACTGGCAGAGCAATGATGAGCGTCCCATGCCATATATGTGTCTCTCGACGGCAGCTAAGCGCGCGCTTGTTCTTTTCTACCGGCAATTTTGTAAACTCGATGACATGAATTTCTTGGTCTTTTGGCAGCTTTTGATACCCCTTTTCTTTGTCGCTTTTAATTGAACCATTTACGCTAGAATGGTCCACATGCATATCCACCTGGGCAGATGTCCACCACTGATGAAGATAGTCAACAAATAATGACCTCAGGCCGAACCGGACCTCTATTAAGAAAAGTGATATTTAGTAATTTCTGTTTTACAATTTATAAAGAATTAGCAGTCAATCATAGAACGTACAGTTATTTTATAGAGCACTCAGCCCCGGAGTTGGAGAAACCGCCGTTTGCATTGTTTGCAGGTTACGAGGAGTTGGAGCTCCGCATGCTTCGAGGGATTTGCCACCCCCCGACGACCTCATTTCTGAACAGGTCCCATTTTGTCTCTGAATATTTCGTTGATCCAAATTCATCAATCAGAAGATACCGCCCACCTGACTGTATTATCATTATCTCTTATTCACATTGGTGGTTTAGCTGAGTCTTACCACACTGCACAAGATGCCTTCCGCGCCTAAGCAGAGGAAGATCGCAATCGTTGGCAGTCGCTCCGTGGGTAAGATCCTCTGGCTCATAATACAAATCATTGTAATTGCACTAACACTTCTCTTTCAATAGGTAAATCATCCCTCACGGTTCGCTTTGTCGAGCACCACTTTGTGGAAAGCTATTACCCTACAATTGAGAACACATTCAGCCGGATTATCAAGCACAACGGGCAGGACTATGCAACTGAGATCGTCGACACTGCGGGACAGGTAGGTAATCTCCGTACGAGATGCCGATTGGTTACTGAGACCATTCTACAGGACGAATATAGTATCTTGAACTCCAAGCATTTCATTGGTATTCATGGATATATCATTGTCTATTCAGTGACATCGCGCCAGTCATTTGATATGGTGCGGGTGATTCGCGACAAGATCCTGAACCACCTTGTCAGTCCCTTCCCACGACCAGTACACACAAACCAGCATCTAATCTTTCCTCTAGGGAGCGGATGATGTACCACTTGTTATAGTAGGAAACAAGAGTGATCTCAAGCCCGATCACCGCCAAGTCACCCTCGATGACGGACGGCAATTAGCGGAGGAGCTCAACTGCGCTTTTACTGAGGCTAGCGCTTTCCTTGACTTCAATGTCTCGAAAGCCTTCGATCTCATGATAGGAGAGGTTGAGAAGTCTCAAAATCCCTCACAACCAACTGGGAACAACAAGTGCGCTTTGATGTAATACGGATGCTTACTACTGGAACGCGTGTGTTTCTCTCCCGGGGATGGTAAGCGAAGCCATCTCTGGATCTCTGGATCTCTGAGTCAAGAAACATGAAACATCTCTTTCATTGGAGCTGACAACACTATACCTTGCTCTTTCGATGTCCACTCAATTCAGATCTACGGATGTCTTGTTTGCTGACTCGATTATTGACTTAGAGATCATCAACGCCAATTTGATAACACCAACTTGATGGCTTCTTTTTCGGGGGCCTTCTTCTTTTGGCTCTATTTCCTTCGTCTATTGTGTCTTTCTGGTGGAACATTTGGGTTATTGCATGAATAATGAGTTTTAGGGTCGGATTAGGGAACATGGATCGGTACCATGCATAGAGTAATGAATCTCAATTTAAACGAGCTTCTATAACTTTGCAAAGTATTAAATTAGATTGATCTATAGGAATATCCGTGGCCATAACTAGCATATTTGGAAGTAAAGACCCTGGGGAGCGTTGGACCGCATTATCGATTAAGTAATGCAGCCCCTCGACCTACCCAAGTGCGTGCATCCACGCACTTTGATTTTCCTCGTTTTTACCCCTCCACAATTTGAGTCACCCCTCTACCACTTGGATTCCCCTGAACCTTTGAACTCCAATCGCCAATATGCTGGACCTTGCCGACTTTGTCACTGAGCGTGGTGGTGATCTCAAGAAGATCAAGGAGAGCCAGCAGAAGCGATTTGCTCCGGAGGAGACCGTCGATGAAGTTGTCGCGCTCTTTGAAGAGGCACGACGCGGTATGGATCCTTTCTTTTCGAGGTTGGCGAAATCCTACTGACAGATATAGCTCGTTATGAGGTCACACAGATGAACTCTCAGATCAATGGAGTCCAGAAGGCAATTGGAATGAAGAAGAAGGTAGGCATTTTACCACCAGTCTAGGGTATGCGGAGATGCTTATCCGTTCTCACAGAACAAGGAAGACGCAACCGAGGAGCTCGCGCAAAAGGTAGCACTCGAGACAAAGAAGAAGGAGCTTGAGGAAACTGCTATCGCCAAGGAGCTTCAACGCGACCGAAAGATTCGCACGATTGGAAACTACGTCCACGAATCCGTGCCCGTGAGCAACGATGAGGTATGGGTCTTCAAGTCGCGTGGAGATTGAATGCGCCGCGAGACTAACAAGGGAATTTCTGAATACAGGCCGACAACAAGCTCATCAAGACATGGACCCCCGAGAACGCCGAAATGCAGAAGCCAGGCTGCCTCTCCCACCACGAAGTGTTGACTCGTCTCGATGGATATGACCCAGAGCGTGGTGTCAAGATTGTTGGACACCGCGGATACTGCTTGACTGGATACGGTCTTTTCCTCAACTTGGCTCTGGTCAATTATGGTCTAGAGTTCCTCTTCAACAAGGGCTACACCCCTAACCAGCCCCCTCAATTCATGCTCAAGGATCTCATGGCGAAGACTGCGCAGCTCGAGCAATTCGACGAGGAGTTGTATAAGGTTACCGAGAGCGAGGATAAGTCGACCGACAAGTACCTCATTGCTACCTCCGAACAACCATTGTCTGCCCTGCACGACAGCGAGTGGCTCCAGGACAAGGACCTGCCCATCAAGTAAGACTTCCTTGTCGCCTAGGATTAAATCGTTTTTTTTTACTAACAAAATAATTAGGTACGCCGGTTACAGCACATGCTACCGCAAGGAGGCTGGATCTCACGGTAAAGATGCCTGGGGCATCTTCCGTGTTCACCAATTCGAAAAGGTTAGGATAGATCCAAACGCCCTGGATTTTCACGTTCTAACCCCATGCAGATCGAGCAGTTCGTTCTTACAAAGCCCGAGGATTCATGGCAAGCATTTGAGGACATGATCAGCACTTCGGAAGAATTCTACCAGTCCCTAAAACTCCCTTACAACATTGTCGCCATTGTCTCTGGTGCCTTAAACAACGCGGCATCCAAGAAGTACGATCTGGAGGCCTGGTTCCCATTCCAGCAGGAGTACAAGGAGCTCGTCTCTTGCTCTAACTGTACCGACTACCAGTCCCGAGCTCTGGAGATCCGCTACGGCGCGAAGAAGACCACCGATATCAAGAAGACTTACGTCCACGCGCTGAACTCCACCCTGTGCGCCACGGAGCGTACCCTCTGCTGTATCCTTGAGAACTACCAGAAAGAAGATGTAAGTGGCGAATGTTCATTGGTGATTATGACAGTAACTAATAATATTTTAGGGTATCGAGGTCCCCGAGGTCCTGCGGAAATACATTCCCGGTGCTCCTGAGTTCCTTCCTTACACCAAGGAACTTCCCAAGGGCAGCACGTCCACTAAGGTCAAGGGGAAGGCTACCAAGGCCACCGATGATGCCACCAAAAAGATGGAAGGTCTTCAGGTTTAAGGAGATATCCCATGATGTACCTTGAGATATAAATTACAAATTACGATGGTTTAGTTCATGATTTATAGGCAGATGTACACAAGAATAGTCGGCCCAGGCGGCCTCTGCCCTTCCAAGGTTGGCGGCGTGCGATCCCAGCTGATCCCGTCTTTGTGGGAATCGTAGTTGAGGTGAGCAGCTCTAACAGATTTTGTTTACTCATAGCCCGGCATGGTGGTCTCCAGAGTGCTACCTAGGTTGATGCGCGTTTCATTGTCCAGGTAGCCTTCAAGCCAGAATCCAGCTGGCCGCCTTTGAAACGAGGATTTTTATTTATTTAAGATAGCACTCTGGTGTCTTCTTTTATAGCTACAACTCCAAATCTATACAAAAAAAAGACATCTTTGTATTATGGCCGATCTGCAAAGGGTGCTATAATTCCTGGGTAACTGCTCGACCGCACTTCAATAACACCTGATCACTACCGGCAACATGATTATTCTGGTCATACAGGTTTGTTTTAAACCCATAAACAGCGAGGGGGTTAAGGCAGCCTTCCTACCTAAGGTGGACAGGACCTTGCCTAGCTGGATTGGTCTTTCATTCCCGAGGTCCTGTCTCTGTATCTCTCAATAAGCAGCTCCGCTCAAACCATGTCTTCTTTCTCTTTTGCCTTCAAGCTCCACAGTGTCGATGATCTGGAAGGTGGTATATCCTTCCTTGAAAGATATCAGGTGACCGACATAGCCCTAATTCATTAAACAGCGATTGGACAGTAGCAGCAGAAGATTCCATCAACGGACGGGCTAATCTGGGCCACTTCATCCTATCAATTGAAAGTTGAGCATAGCAAGGGATTGTTTCACCTATAGAGAATGGCGAAGATGACGCCACTTGCAAATAGTGAGACCAGGATCCCCAAGGCGAAGATCATATAGCCGGTCTTTATGGAGAGTAGAGTGTTTCAGTCTGACCATGCCTGGGCCGTAGTTGTTCCATTGTAGAGGTTGTCATACAAGGGCCGCAAGGTGGGAGAAAGCTGAAACATCGGATCGACAGTGGCTCCTGGTGTTGATGATCAACAATTTTGAAGAGGATCAAGAGGCCTGTAGAGGCATTATCTTACCTGCATTGTAACACATGTTTTGCAGGTCCCGAGACTCCGTATATTCTTCGTCAGCCTCCTCAGATTGACCCAGACCCAGTACTTCAACCCGGAATCTTGTGTACTCGCTCTTCGCCCTTTCCTGTTGATATGTGTGGAGTAACGAATCGGCCGTAGGTAGAGGTGGATGAAAGGCAAAGCGACAAAAATCGTCCGCAAAAATAGAACGTCTCATCACTGTTGAGAGATAGTGATAGCAACAGACCCATGTATGGACCGGTTCCATGCTTACAGCGAAAAGACAGAAAAGGGGGTGGTAGCTTGTGTTGGCTTCACCGGATGGCTAATAGTCAACAGCACCACGTAAGAGGTCCAAGCTCGTAGCTGTTGGATCTTCCAGGACAGACCCTCCCAAGTAGTCCTAGAAGACCCCGGCCATATGAAGGCCGGAAATTACTCGTCAATCCAGCAAGAACAGGCTAGGCTGACCCCAAAGCCAGCTGTTCCCACAAGAAGAGACAGAGCAACCGAGATACGCAATCGTATTAGGGAATTCTATTAGGAATAAGCTGCCCCAAAGCCGTTCCTTCAAGAATGGGCCAAGCTCGTCAATTCATCAGAAAAAAGGCCAAGCCAACCCCAAAGCCAGTCATTCCTACAAGAATAGACAGAGCAACTGAATCGAATTTGGCCATTCTATCGGGAACAGGCTGAGCCGAAGCCAGCCATTCCTCCAAGAACAGGCCGAGCTAAAGCCAGCCGTTCTTATATGAAAAGACGAAGCAACAAAAACACGCAATAGAAAAGGCCATTCTGTTAGAAACAAGCCAAAGGCAGCCGTTCCTGCAAGAAAAGGCGACGGAGCTGAAACAATCCCTTGTCGCAGATCGTTCTCTCAAGAATAGATCGAGCGGAAGCTAATCATTCCTTCAAGAACAGACCAAGTTCGTCATTCATCAGGAACAGGCCAAGCCTAAGCCAGCCATTTCTGCAAGAAAAGACGAAGCTCATCCCTCTGTTAGGGGTAGACTGAGAGCCGTACACCCTATGATTTATCAGAGTTGACGGTGCGACGTTTGTCACGACTAAAAGGATGGAGAAGACTGGAATGCTGGATACCAGACTCCGAAGTCACGCCCTTTTTGTGAGACCGTCGGGAAAGTGAGCCCATCCATCTCCGAAAGACACTTGGGCTTCGTTCGGGCTGGGACTACTGGAGTAGCTGGAGCCTTCAGATTGCACCGGAGATTGTGGGCCATTCAGAGATTCAACCCTTGGGTTTGAAAATCCGGAATTCCTCCAGTCACCTGCGCGCTCCTCGGCCTCGACAGCTCGCCGCTGAAACTCTGCAGCCTGCTGTTTGGCCTCTCTCAGTTGCTGAGCAAGTTGCTCAGCATGTGAGTGGGCCTCCAGGGCTGAAAGCTCGGCGTCCATAGCCCGTAGCTCAAGCTGCCTGCTTCGGCTTTCAGCCTCTGTGCACTTGGCCTCTTTCCTATAGTGGCTATTAGTATTTACTTAGTATTAATAGGTCTGAGTCTGAGCAGTATTAAATACTCTCAATGTAGGGGAAGGGGATCAATCTTACTCTGCGCGTATTTGTACTAGCTTGTGCTTGTGGCGCAACCAACCAAGCACAAGCTGTCCCACGGTGTGCAACGTGGAAATCACTGCAAAAGGAGGGTCTTCCGCAGATCTTGGAGATTTAACCCATGAACAAGCCTCCGAAGAGCCGAGTGAGTCAGCGTTGCTGCTAAACATTTCGAGTGATGGGTCGAAATTTGAAATGTGGGAAAAGGCGAAGAAAGGAGAAAGAGGGAAGAAAGAGAAAAGAGAGAAGGGAACTTGAGAAGCTTAGGGGACAGGTGCCTTCCATTTTAGGCAACGTAAACAAAGCGTTCCTTCCTCATCTGACTAGATATAGAGGCTCTGACCTCGGGAATCCTCATTGATTACTCACTTTGAGCTCATTTGACTATAACACAGCTAATCTCAATATATTATCAGAAGTCATTGTCATATCCAATGCTTGAAGCTCAACTCTGTTGTGACAACGGACATTGAGCCCCTCCATTCATATTGTATTCCATCCTTGATTGTATTCCATGATCTTTTCCGACTAGAACCCCAATTGAGCTGGTTGGAGTCTTGGGTTGCACGATTTCCGTTGGGAATGAGCAGATAGGGTAGAAGAAACCGAATGATGACTTGGAGACTGGGAATAATTCAAAAGTACAACCTCTGTGATTGAAAATTCGAGATGCCTCCAGTCACCTAGACGTCCCTCGGCCTCGGTAGCTGGTCCATTCTCTCACTTGCTAGGCAAATTGTTCAACGTGCGGATTGGCTTCTCTGGCTGCAATTTCGGCTGCGTAGCTCAAGCTCCGGGGTTCGGGTTTCGGCCTCCGTGCACTTAGTGCATTTGGCATCCTTCCTATAATGGCTATCAGTATTCGTCTAGTACCAGTAGGCTTGAGTAAAATCCTTATAACTACTCTCAATGTAGGGAAAGGAGATCAATGAATCTTACTCTGCGCGGATTTCTCTAAGTTTCTGCTTGTGGCTCACCCAATCAACCAGAATCTGGCCCTGAATATAAAAGGTCCAAGTGATTGCAAATAGACCAACGTACTTCGGCACATCCTAGGTCTCCGTAACCCATGACCTAGGATTCGTAGGGTTTCCCTGTGCATAGTCAACTCCAGGGCTTGTCGATAGTTCTTTCACTCAACGGGCCGACGGCTCTTCTCCTTTCGATACTTTTTTCTGCGTTAGTATCCACACAGAGAGACATAGTGGTACTAAACTTGAGGAGGAAAGCAAGGTATTTCACATCCGATGGAAGAGAGCCTTTTACATATGGTCCATGGTACATGGTACACTTAGCAGTCTTTCAAGCAGTCTTTTTAGTAGTCATTTGAGGAGCCTTCTCAGATATCCGTTTGTATATCTTTTTTTTTTTCTTTTAAATAGATATTAGATGAATTAGTTGCAAGATACAGAGTTTAGTGAAAAGGTCTAAGAAAAGGTCTAAGATGTGATTCAGATCCTAAACATTATTCATGAAGTGAATGGGCTTGAATTAGATACTAAAACGGCCTTGTCGTAGCAACACACTGCCGAAATCGGTCTCCAACATCCTCCAGGTAGTATAACACCTCTATTCTTGTCCATTGCCAGTTTAACACATTGATCCCTCCGCAATTTATTCGCTAAGGGCTATACTATATCATCTACTAGATGTATATAGTCATAGGGTATCATATTCAGTTCCGTGTCATTATATCCATGACAGAGAATACTTTAACAAGCAAGCGGATGCATTCATTAAAACAGGACCTCGCGGGTTCCCAAATATCGAGCAATCATAGGAATTAGCTACAAACCGAAAGCAATCTTCGAGATATAGCACTCGACTCAGCTTAAACCTCTTTTCAGCCGCCAAGGGAATGCCTTCTTCCAATACCACTCAAGTGATCTCACCATTGACATCCTCCCATGCCCAAAGATACCCGGCTTAGAAAAATAGGCCTCCGTCATTGTTAAAAGATAGGAGGGGTTTCCGCTCCCGAGGCTATCCCCTAGGTTGAAAATATCCCATGCCGCCTCGGATATCTCATAACCACGATGAACTTCACAGCAAAAACACTTCAAGGTGCAATGGCCGATGCCCTTCTCCTTTCTAGTCAGACAGCGCTTTTCGCAACATCCGCAGCTTCGACCACAGCAGCCACCCCTCTGCACGCAGTCTTCGATAAGCTCTTTTCGGAGATACCAAGCAGGATTCTGTCAGATCTGGCCGTAAATCTTTTTCAGCGGCCGTTGAGGAAGCTGAACTTCCGCATTGCGTAGGAGTTCTGTTAGGACGAAAATATTCGCTCCAATGCGCTCGAGATCTTTCTCATGTTCGTGGCGCGCATTTGTATTATCCTTGGCCTTCTCCAAGGCTCTTAGCTTAACTTCAATATGCTCTTCCTCTTGTCTGGAGCCCCGTTAAAGATAATCGAGCTCTATAATCGTCGCAAATATTGCCGAAGGGATTTGAAGACCCTTGCCGTACTCAAAGAGGCGTCTGTCCTCCCGTTTGTAATCCCGAACAGGCTTGAAGTTTCCGAAGGAATCGAACATTTGTAACGGATCTACTCCCAGCAACGATATTTCCACCATGGATCTAATTTCGGACGTTATGTTCTCGGACGTTATGTTCTAAGTCACGTTAGTATAATTTTCCCATAGCTAAGGGCACAGCTTGTGGATATGGAGAAATACTCACGAAAATTGGATTCGAGTAGTTGCATAGTAGTGAATAGTGAGTAGTGAAAGTTGGATTGTAAGGTGAGCTAGAAGTCTGGCAGTCAGTCAAAATTACATAGGCCGCCGCCAGAAATGGCTGAGTTTATCCCTTGGAAATGTTCCGAATACTTCCAAGATTAGGTTTTCATATAATTTTACTGAGCTCTATCTTGGCAGAGCATAGTCATATAAGGATCAGAAACAGTAAGGAGATATGTCAGTTTATAACTTATAGCCCTGGAGGTGCATGTATATAGTATAAGCACGCAATTGCCTAAAGTAGATAAGCCCACTCGATAAACATGTGATCTGCATGTGATTGGTCAAAATTTGGAAAAAAAAAAAAAAAAAAGTCGCCCCGCGATGCCCCTCCATACAATAGATTGAAGAGTACAGTACATAGAATATATCTGAACACTCAATTAACTTATATAAGGATCAATTGATGCTAAATAAATATATATATATACTGCATGTAGTCATTGTAAATGGTAAATCCCCGAAACCAGAATCACCGAGTCCGATTCCGGAGACCTGGGGGGCTTACTTAATTCTATATTGAGTCATCCCCGGAACCATGTGGTCCACCCCATTCACATCTTCATTGTTTCTTTTCGTTGTTCCTCTTTCCTCTACACACACACATATACGTCAATCATGTCAATCGCAAGAGATATCCGTCCTCGTCAGGACGAAGCGGCTTTCCTCGCTACCTCCCCCAGCGCCTCCTTCAACTCACCATCCAGCCACAGCTCTGTTCTGAACCGTACGATTCCAGTCAATGCTAAGCCCCTGAAGCCGTTCGCCACAGAAGATATCAAGGTCCTACTCCTGGAGAATGTCAATCAGACCGGCCGTGACATCCTTTCAAAGCAAGGATACCAGGTCGAGTTCCTGAAGTCTTCCCTCTCAGAAGATCAGCTCATTGAGAAGATTCGGTGGGTCCCAATCTAAATTCCCTCCCGGTGACTCACGAAGCTCAATTGTATTGTTTTGCAGGGATGTTCACGTCATCGGTATTCGCTCAAAGACCAGACTCACCGCACGAGTCTTGAAGGAAGCCAAGAACCTTATCGTCATCGGTTGCTTCTGTATCGGTACCAACCAGGTCGACCTCCAATATGCCGCGGAGCAGGGTATTGCCGTCTTCAACTCCCCCTTCAGCAACTCCCGCAGTGTTGCCGAGTTGGTCATTGGCGAGATGGTCATGCTTGCACGTCAATTGGGCGATCGCTCCAACGAGATGCACGCCGGTACCTGGAACAAAGTGAGCAACGGCTGCTGGGAGATTCGTGGAAAGACCATCGGTATGTGATGTCCTTCAACTATTCCGTTGTTTCCGGGGTTTGTGCTGACCTGTCAGGTATCATTGGATATGGCCACATTGGTGCCCAGCTGTCCGTGTTGGCTGAGGCAATGGGTATGTCCGTTATCTACTACGACGTTCTCAACATTATGTCACTGGGTACCGCTCGCCAGGTGAACACCTTGGATGAGCTCTTGGCCGAAGCCGATTTCATTACCTGCCACGTTCCCGAGATTGCCGAGACCAAGGGCATGATTGGAGAGAAGCAGTTCGAGAAGATGAAGAAGGGAAGCTACTTGATCAACGCCAGCCGAGGAACCGTTGTGGATATCCCCGCTCTTATCGATGCCATGCGCAGCGGTAAGGTCGCTGGTGCCGCTCTGGATGTGTACCCCAATGAGCCTGCCGGAAACGGTGACTACTTCAACAGCGAGCTGAACTCATGGGGAGCGGATCTGCGCTCGCTTAAGAACCTTATCCTGACCCCTCATATCGGCGGAAGTACCGAGGAGGCTCAGAAGGCTATTGGTGTCGAAGTTGCCCAGGCTCTGGTCCGATATGCTAACGAGGGTTCCACCCTCGGTGCTGTCAACATGCCCGAGGTTGTCCTCCGTTCATTGACAATGGATGAGCCCAACCACGCTCGTGTAAGTTTCCTCGTGCAATCATGCAATTTTGCAATGATACTGATTTTACCTAGGTCATCTACATCCACAAGAACATTCCCGGAGTGTTGAGGAAAGGTATAGTATATTTGATTTAAATAAAGTGGACCTTTAACTAACAATGCCACAGTCAACGAGATTATTGGTGACCACAACGTCGACAAGCAGATGACCGATAGCAGAGGCGATGTAAGTGTATCCGTGTTTTCTATACAAAGGAAAAAGACAGAAACTAACTGTTATAGGTTGCCTACCTGATGGCCGATATCAGCAATGTGGACACTGCCACCATCAAGGATTTGTATAGCCAACTCGAGAGCCTTCCTTGTAAGATGATATTCTTTCTCTTCCGCATGAACCCGAAGCTAACACTACACTACTCCAGCTCGCATCATGACCCGCGTGTTGTACTAAACAACCGATCCAAAAACTAGCTAGCCTCCGGGCTGTGATGCTTTAATCAACTTAAAATAGATGAGTCACGGGACTCAATCTCAATTGCAAGGGGAGACTCTCAACGAGGTCCTGGTAAATTACAAGATTGCAATTGCCAACTCATGAGTATATTGAGTTGGATACGACTGATGTAAAAGCCGTTGAGTGTACATTTTGTGAATATCATGCACCATTTACTAGAAAAAAGCTATGACATGAATGTTTTCGTTTCCATTTTCATCTGCCGTCATCCACACGGATTGACTGGCCAAGTAGAATGCATTAAGTGAGAAATCGCTGAAACATCATGATCTTAACCTCGACTCCCGTCTCTAAAGCCGGGGCTGCGGCTCCTTCTTCTTGATTGAGGTTCCCGACGGTAATCACGTCGACTTGTCGAGCGCCAATCGGCACTTGAATGCGAGGCATGCTCGCCAGAGTCTCGCGAGCGATCGTGGCTGCGGTCACTACCACGATCACTGCCGCGGTCATTGCTGCTGTAATTTGGAACGTAAGAGTCTAGATTCCCCGATCTGCCTCCTGGGCGACCTCCTTGTCCGAATTGATTTCGGCGATCATCTCTCCCGTCAGGTCTATTCGATTGCGACCCATCCCATGGCGGGTTGGCTGGTACGGGAGGACGAGGGGGTAACCCAACATCTCTTTGTGCAGGTGGGAAAGGCCCGCGACGTTGCGGGTTTCCGTGGTGTCCATGGCCTCCATGGGTTCCTGGTGCAATTGGTCTGCCTCCACGGGCGGCGCCGGGGACGCGGCTATGTCGGGAGTCTGGACCGCGAGAACCAGAGGTTGGCCAACCACCATTGCTTGTTTCGGAGGCGGGTGGGGGTACTGGGGGCATTGGCACCCGCTGGCTGCGGAACTTCTTTCGGTCGAGTTCGTGGGAGTCTGCGAATTGGGGGATTTCGCCGGGTCGTGCTGGGAGTGGGTGGGTAGTAAAGTATGGGTGCTTCAATGCATCCATGGCGTTGATGCGTTTCCTCCAGTCTAGTTTGAGGAATTCGCCTAATAGAGAGATAGCTGCTGGGTTTAGGCTGTTGCATGGTTAGTTATGGGACCAAGGCTTCTTGAAAGAAGAGTAACATACTCCTTGAAGAAATTATGAAGGTTCCCGCGCTTGATTCCGAAATTTTTCACGCCCTCACAACCCGGGAGTTGACTCCATCCGGGCATATTCTCCTCAGTAGGAGTGCCCACAAGATTGAATATCAGCTCTGCTTGGTTAAGATCGCTGTTTCCAGCGAGGATGGGCTTGCCCTTGAACATTTCGCCAAAGACACAGCTATGAGACATTAGAAGACGGTAAACATGGCTAACAGAGATGGAAAACTCACCCAACTCCCCACAAATCGATGGCTGTAGTGTACTTCCGTAGCTGTAGCAACAACTCTGGAGGACGGTACCATCTCGTGACAACAAGTGCAGTGTATTCTCTTTTGGAATCTCCTCCTCCCTTTCCGGGTAGTGGAGGAGCATCATCATAAGGCCGAGCAAGACCAAAATCAGCGATTTGGAGAAGTCCTCCATTGCTAATTAGCAGGTTTGCCGCTATTCATTTTGTCAGCCCAGAACTATGGTATATCAGTATCCAACACTCACCTTTCATATCACGATGTAGGATGCGGTTCTGCGAAGCTGTTAGACAAATATTGCATGGATGGGTGTTTCAAGACGATCGTACTGCATGCATGAACTTGAGCCCTTCGAGGAGTTGCATCAAGTAGCACTTAATCTGTGGTTCTGTGAATTGAACTGCCGGGTTTTCCAGCAGTCCTGACAAGTCATGTTCCATGTATGGGAAGACCATGTACATGCTTGGCTTTTTCCGTCCTTCGCCTTTGCCTCGCTCAATTGACATCTCCTTGAGCTGCAGAATGTTTGGGTGGGAAAGCGCCTTCATAAGTTTGATCTCTCGGATGGCGGTAATGGGGAACTAGCACCAGAGGTTAGGTCATGACAAACAAACGACAAACGGCCAGTGGACTTACGCCTTCTTTCTCGTGGTGCATTAGGATCTTTTTTAAGGCCACAATCTTGGTGTCCTTCTTAGACCTTGCTTTGTAAACCTCACTGTCAACCAGTCAGTCGGTTTCCTTCACTGATAGCGCTGCTGGGCTCACCCGAATGTTCCTTCTCCAAGTTTGTCCAGGAATTCATAGTCACGGATGTTCGAACAGCCAGGGAAACGGGCCTGGCCATTCTCATCTTTTTCCAGGGATTTGATCTCCATGCTGACTCGTCGCTTTTGCTGGTCGCTCACGCTGGTGGAGGAAGAAGGTCGTTTGCGCTAGCCGGAGAATAGGTCGAAATGGATTGGCGACCGCCGTCAAGGTGTTCGGTATGGTTTGGTTTGATGTTGTGTCAAGATACACGGAGGTTTCAAAGTCTTCGGAGACAGAGAGTTGTGGGAAATCGTCAAGGTGAATTAACGGTAATCTTCTCGGAGAGAAACAAGGGTGTCGAATGTGTTAGAAGGCGAGTCCATATCATAGTAAAAAGCATGTGTGACGATTTCGCATTGTTCAAGGCCTGGTGTACGGAGCTCGGCCATACAATAGGCTCAATATAAACCTGAATCGGAACCAGCCCAATCAAGACACAAGTGAAATAAGAGTCAGACGGCTCTCCAATAATAAATCAAATGATTGTTCTGCTGGTTGTCCTGCCGAACAATCCAAACACTGCGCTGCGGTGGAATTCGAGTGCCGTCACGGGTCACGTGCCACCAACCTCTCTGTCCCCGTTGAACCGCAGAACCCTCCGTCTTCAGATCCGATTCGAGATTGGTGTTCTGTGAACCAACAACAGTCATTTTCAGCATACAGTACGTCTTACCTGCGCCTTCCTCTCCTCATGCGATTCCGCGGAAACTAATTGCTTTCCAATCTGCACAGTCATGGCGGGCAACTCCTCCCACCCTATCCACATCCACCCGGTCCGACCGCTCTACCGCTTCACTGCGACTGCATTGGGCGCTAGCATGTGGTTCTTCGTAAGGGTTGCCTCCTTTTGATATAGCGAAGCTGTACTGACAAGACTCTTCTGGATAGCTCATGTACCGGGCCAAGAAGGATGGTCCCGCTCTGTTGGGCTGGAAGCACCCTTGGGACCACTGATCTGGTTACAATCGTCGATTTCGTTTTTCTTGCGCAGCCGCTTCGTCCCTCAGGGCAGCGGTGATGGTTGGGCCGCATTGCGTGCTATGTACTTGGAGTGGGAATAGAGGAGCAGAGAGCCGGGTGTTGCCGAGTGCATGCCAAAAGCCACAAGTGTTAGGTTCACGATAGCCATTTACCAGCCGAATTGTATCATACCCTTTCTTTTTCAATTTTCTGAAATGGTAACTCTGTGACCCGAGTGGCCGAGGCGAAGCCTCATTAGACGAATAACTAGCTCATAATATCCAAAAGTATGACTATCTACGGGTCTATATTTTTTTGATAACGTACAATGTGAGTGCTTCGAGAGCATAATTCATAGGCGCAGCGCCTCCAACAGCACTTTATACATCTTGCGCTTCTTGCGGTAGGTTGGCTGCAAGCGGGCACGAGCATGTCCAAGCATCTGTGCCACGCGTGGGAATATGTTCTTCTCTGCTGTCCAAGACAGAACGAAGATCCCGAATGCCAGCGCGAGTAACCAGGTTTTGAAAGGATCAGACATGAAAGTCAGTTGCATCACCTTAGACACCCAGTTGGATGGTCTAAAGAGCATGTAGCCCGAGATCAGGATGTTGACGATGATCGTACATAAGTACGGCGCTAAACAGTCACACAGTCAGTATCTAGATGAGCAAGAAAGTGAAATGGTATGTGCAATTCTTACCATTCTGAGTCATTGGCTTCCGGAATGGCGGACCCGCACTCAGAACAATACTGATGAAGATGTACTGGAAACAGGAGAACAAGAACAAAGCCGAATTCTCTGAATTGGTAATGTTGCTCTTTTCCGGGTCCAGGTGTGGCGGCAAAAACCTGCAGCGTTTGTTAGGATAATTTTGATTGGTATATCATGACGGTTACTGACCATGGCTGTAACTGAACGGTCTTGAAGACCGCAAACTGTGACAGCACAACTAGTAAGATATGCCCAAGCAATGGTGTCAATACCTTGCGCGAGACAAGATCAGCAGTTGGCCGTTTCCGAGACAGCGTGGGAGCAGGATCAGCCCAGCCCACTAAAAAAAGTTAGCTCGGAGACTCAAATTTAGGAGAGATAGGCCACTCACTAAAGACCGCAATGGGCATAATGAGCACAAGATCGATAAAAAGGAACTTGAAACCGTTAGCGATCCATCAAAACTTTTGGTAATATAGCCCACTTACTTGGAAATCACCAAGATTTGACCCCGACGTATACAGGAAGCTGACTGAGGAGAACTGAATCGCGGAATACAGACTCATGAACTTGAAACAGGAGAAGCTTGTCACCAGAGCAGCCCGACCCTCCCTAATCACTGTTGGAACACAGGAGATTTCGAACAGGCGGCTAGTAAAAGGTGCGGCAACAGACGCCTCGGCGTCTGACAATGAGATACCAACATCTGCAGCCTTCAGAGCGCCACAATCATTGGCGCCATCGCCGCAAAATCCACAGCAGTAATCAATGGACTGAAGTTTCTCAACCAGTTCGTGCTTCTCGTCTGGGGACATACGGGCAAACACTTTGCCGCATACAAGTACCTATACGGCACACATTAGTTCGAGGCATGGTAAAAATGGAAATAGTCTGTACAACGGCCACATACCTTATTAAGCACATCTTCATTCCCAAAGTCAATCAACCACCTAAACGCATCACCCGTGACAGCGACAGAGTATTCACGCTCAACGATAGTGTTGTCTGGAATTGATAGGTCGGTCTCCCCGGTGTTTATGGGCTGTAAATGCATTAGCTGGTAGTAATTGAATATAGGGAAAAGATATTTTACCAAGAGTGTTCTTGGGTCTAACTGGAGGTCGGAATTGTCCACGCATTCCCATATGAGAGAAATTTTGGATGAAAGACCAGGCGCTGTGTATCGTTAATACTAAATCGAGTATGGCATGGATGTCGTATAACAAACCTTCAACGAAGTGCGGGATGAAACACGGTTCATCGCGTCCAAGCATGTTGCATTCGCGAGCAACACTGATGGCAGTCAAGATGTTATCACCAGTGCACATTACATTACGAATCCCCGCCTCGTTCAACTCGGAGATCACACCGGCAGTGCTAGGTTTCAACTTGTTCTCGAATATGATGAAACCCAGGAATTCCAGGTCGGATTCAGCGTCTGTCCGCGTCATTTTTTGGACCTTCATCCAGCTCAACTTTCGCTCGTATTTGGAAGCACAGGCAATCACACGGTATCCCTTGTGAGTGTAGTAGTTCAGGAGATCTTCATAATCCGAAGGAACTGAAAAAGAATTATATCAGCAACGCAGGCTTATGTAGAGAGAGAAAGAGAGAGAGAGAGAGCACTGACGTGATCCAGGAATACATATGTCCTTGATGCTTTCTGGGGCACCCTTGACAAAGAAACTTGCTCCATTGTCGCCAAACGACCTGACGACAACACTTGCGCGGCGAAGATTCGAGACAAATTCAAAACTCCGCAGTACTCCAAGCTCGAGGGGGTTCTGAATATGGTTAGACATGAAGTTATGGCCTGAATAAAATCAACTCACAATTACATCTTGTTCGTCACCGGTCTGTCGTTGAGGGGGCTTTGCAACTGACGGCGCTATCGTGTCATATTTAGGGCTTGTCTGGTCGGAAACAAGATTCCCTCCCTCCTCAAACGTCCAGTTGGTAAATTGGAACATCTTCACATCAAGAGGATCTCCCAACAGCTCATCGTCCACTACCCTAAGGGAATGACACGTAGCCATGACAGACATAAGCTTGCTTTGCTTTTCGATATCGAATGCGGAGTTAGCATTTGGGGAAGGACGAAGAAACCCGTCGGATGTCTCAAAGAGCAACTCCGAAAACCTAGAAATTATTCTTCAGCGCCAAGTTAAGGATCATACTTAGAAAACAGACAAACCTTTTACCGCGGGTAACTATACGCGCTCCTAGTACATCCAGTCCATCTTCTGTGAGGGTTCCAGTTTTATCGAAACAAACAATGTCCAGCTTTCCTCCCACGTTGACCCTAGTCCCATGTATTAGTGTCGAGGTTAAGACATTGTTCAGCTTCTACTACTCACTTCTGTGGGCTGATGCAGAATATGTTCTGTTTCTTCAGTCGTGAAAGCGCAAAATTGGTTCCGATGGTAAGCGTCGCTGGAAGAGCTGGCGGTACAACAATCGTGATCAGATCGAGGGCTCGAATTATGATCAAATGCCAAGCCATCTGTGTTTCGTTAGATCAGCGGCCAAAATAACCTTGGGAAAATCGTCTTCCTAGGATTGACTTACCCCCAATCGAACAAAGTTAACGAATGAAGCAACGAATCCGAGAAGAGCGACCATCCCCATCACGGCGATATACCGGAACGAGTCTCGATAGAATTTGAATCCAGAAGGCTTTGGGAAAAGCATCGATCGAACTAGAGCTCCCTTGGTTGTCAAAAAGCCAGTTCTCATAACAATTGCCAATGCTACTGCTTCGTCGTCGTCAACATTCTGGGGCCGTCTAGCCCGGATTACTTTGGTTCCACTGAAAAGGAAGTGTTTAGCAACATTGGGGTGGATAGAAGGGGTGCTGAGATCGAGATATTTGAGGGCGTCATCGGTGAGTGGTGTTTTAGACACGGGTACAGATTCACCTATTCGAGTTAGACGTATAAATCAATATGGAGGTTTTGTACTAACCAGTGAGCATGCTCTCATTCACAATGCAGTCTCCTGACAACAAGATGCAGTCACACGGGACCTGGTTAAGCGATGGATCGGAGAATTCATACACATCACCAGGAACCAGCTCTTGGGAGGATACGGATCGCCCTGTAGATACGATCAGTTTACATCAACCAGTAATATGATACATGGAAGGAACTCACAGAATCCATTTCTTAGAACACGAACATCACACTCGAAGAGAGATATCTCCCTGAGCCGACTCATTGTCTGTAGCAGCGTTAGTTTCGGGATATTATTCAAATTGCTGGGTTAAACGCACTGATTTCGTCTCTAGCACAGTCGTTGCTATGCTGAAAAACGATATGAGAAAGATACAGATGGCGTAGTAGTAGTACTCATCCAAGGACCACAGAACGAGACTTGCAATTTGGAAGATATAGAAAGGATGAAAGGCCTGTACACTGTCAGATATATTGATGGAACAACTAGAATGGGAACTAACCTCGTCGACGAGAAGCTGAGGAATTGTCTTTTGGTCAATTTCGATGGCGTTACTTCCAAATATCTGTTCCCTGCTGTCCCGTTCATCGGCATCCAATCCAGTTCGCATGACCTTAGCATTAGCCCACGAGGGATCTTTCCAACCATTGATCAAAGAAAATTTATCCTCGATTGGATGATAGAAGAATTTCAGATATCGGTAGTCAATGAAGTGTAAAGATGCAATAGTCGGGTCATTATCTTCGTCATAGGTGTGATTTAGTGAGTCAGCGAAGACCGTGGAAAGCGGACGTCCATAAGCTTGGCTGCCAACTTCGTGGATGGTGAATTGGTTCCATTGGTCCTATCATGGGTCAGACAGTTATTGTATGGGGTAGAAAATTCACAATCTCACCTCGATAGCCACCCATTGACATTTACCTATTGGGGTTGCCTTCCCGATCAGCTTTACCCGCCATCGGGGCAGCCATCGGAAGAGAAGCCAGGCAAATCCACCGGTCAAGATGCAAAGAGCAATATAAACAGCAAATCCTCCCGAGCTCGTGGAAAAGCCAGCAAAAACAGCCGTCAAATCCTCCGACGCAATATATACCTTTTGGTTCAACCGGCTACCGGTTCGTCGGTCTCGGCCATACGAGCTGGCGGACAGGTAGCGAGAAAGAAGTGGATGTTCGATCGAGTCGCGAGAAGTAGACATGCGCTTAGACACAAAGGATCCCCTGGCTGACTCAAGATCTGCATCCCCGATCCCATGTAGAGATTCTTCATCCATCTCGCTTTGCTCATCCACTGCATCTTCGTTTGACCATTCTGCGAAGTCTTCCTCGTCCTGGAAGTATGTAAAGCTCACTGTAGAGCCTGCTCGATCACGGCGGTGCGCAAACGAGACGACGCTGGAAGGAATGCTTTCCGAGATCGGACCATCGAAGACCTAGTGCGAGTCAGTCCCTGCGCCGAAGCCTGCATGTGAGAATAAAGATTTTGGCATACCTCATTACGGGCCATCTCCACATCTGACACGACGCTCATGCTATATAATGATCAGCGGGAATTCAAGTGTCGAGGTAAGTAGGAAGAGGGCATAGCAACCTGCTTCGCATGGAATCGCGTCGTAATCCAGTTCGAGGCATGGAGAGGTCCACGGGACCAGTCCCCGAGGGAGACTGCGCGCGGCTTCCCATGTTTAGGAGGTCAGCTCGGCTGGTTCGCCAAAGGCCTGAGTGTCGTATTATGGGACTTTGGTAAAGTTGTGTTTCACCGACACAGGACCGAAGAGCATTTACCGCGGAGCGCAAGTTCCCACAAAAGTTGAGTGTGAGATCCGAACCTTGGAAGCTTATCTGTGTCCCACAGCGGAGAGCGACTTATCTCCATGTGACTTCCCGATATAGCTTTGGATTATATAATCATATCGGACCCAACTTGGAAATCCCCGGGTCCATATCAAGTACTTCTAGAAGAGTAGAGCCGCGTATGCGGCCTTGTGAAGTCTTTTTAGCAGCCTTTTTAATAGTCTTTTTGGTAGTCTCAGATATTCTGTTTACAACATAGATATCTCTTACGAGATTTTCTCCCCCTTCTCAGTTGTATAGGTAGACAGCAGAAACAGGCGGAAACAAGCATACTTTTGTGCAAGAGGCTTTTCTATGTATAACCTTTGAAATAATGCCATGGTATATATATATTGACGGGGTTCCATAGCAATCTAGAAGATTGGATGTGCCTTGGCATCTTATTTCTGGGCTTTCACCGAAATCTTATTGGCCACTAAATCATCCACGGGATTTCGATCTGACCTCGGGAGATACGGAAAGATCTACATGGCGCGACTCAAGGGCCTTAAAGGCTCAATTCCGTTTTGAATTTACCCAAATGACTATTTTAGGGTTGCTACTTACATCCCTGTAAATAAAGTGCTTTGTACATCATCCTAACTATACCCTAAAGTTGAATTTCATGCAGCTTAGGCAAAACAAGCAACCTGTGCTCCGTATAATATACCCGTTTCTATAAATATATATATCTCCGTCTATGGAGGCGAATCTCATTCTACATGTACCTATTTTCCCTTCAAAGCAATTAAAGAAAAAGTTATACACTCATACCAAAAGAAAAAAAAAGGTGTCCAGAATCACATATAAAATAATTCTCTAGCAAAATTGGAATTTGGAGAGAGAGAGAGAGGGGTAATATGGTCCAGGATGCGCCACCGGGAGCGATCAGATCGAAAATAGGAATTCAAGACATCACATAGAAGAAATGAAAGAAATAGAATCTAATGTTCATAAAAGATTCGATAGATCCAAATATTAAAATAGGTTATGTACGGAGTATTGTTGGGAGAATTTGCAGTCTTTGCCTCAACCAGAACCGTTCCGCCAAGCCCCTCGGCCACAGGGCGCTAAGGATCCCACCATCTTCCAGACTCTCTCCCCCCAAAACTAAACGGCATATCAAATTCTTCTTCCTTCTCTCAACCTCATCCTCTCCCTCCCACTCTATCTATCCATTCACCATGTCTGAGCCCATCAGAAATAAGAAGGCGGACTTCCCGGTTGCACCGTAAGGATCCCAGTTTTATTTTTCCTTTAAGAAAAAAAAAAAAATATACTGACTTGCAGAAAGGACCCCGCAAAACACACCGGCCAACAATGCTCCCATCTCTTCTCACGCCCAGCAGCCTGGTGTATCCAGCATCGAGGAGGGTAAGTCTTCTCTTTTCATGTCTTCACCGACATCTCTTTGACCGTTTTATTTCTCTAGAATCCCTTGACAAAGCTGCCGCTGCCTCGCTCTTCGCCCGCAACCCTGCTCTGGTCTCTATGATCCAAGGCAAGTTGGGTCAACTTGTCGGTCGCTCATCAGGCTACATCGAATCTCTCCCCCCCTCCGTCCGCCGCCGTGTCGCTGGCCTGAAGGGTATCCAGAAGGAGCACTCCAAGTTGGAGGCTCAGTTCCAAGAGGAGGTTCTGGAACTCGAGAAGAAGTACTTTGGCAAGTTTACGCCCCTGTACCAGCGTCGCTCTACTATCGTCAATGGCGGTGTTGAGCCGACCGAGGCCGAGATTGAGGCCGGAAAGGAGGACGAGGAGAGTGACGATGAGGAGACTAAGGAAGAGACCAAGAAGGAGGAGGCTGAGACCATGAACGGCATCCCCGAGTTCTGGCTTTCTGCTATGAAGAACCAGATCTCGCTTGCTGAGATGATCACCGAGCGCGATGAGGAGGCTCTTAAGCACCTCACCGACATTCGCATGGAGTACCTTGACCGACCCGGATTCCGCCTCATTTTCGAGTTCTCCGAGAACGAGTTCTTCACCAACAAAACCCTCACCAAGTCATACTTCTACAAGGATGAGAGTGGATACGGTGGCGATTTCATTTATGACCACGCCGATGGATCCCAGATTGACTGGAAGGAGGACAAAGACCTGACCCTCCGCCTGGAGAGCAAGAAGCAGCGCAACAAGAGTAAGTGCACTCGAATATCGGGATGCCATGTTGAAAAATCGATAACTGACCCCTCTTTTAGACACCAAGCAGACCCGCGTTGTTAAGATTAGTGTGCCTACCGAGTCCTTCTTCAACTTCTTCTCGCCCCCACAGCCACCCACCGAGGATGACGATTCAGTCGCCAGCGATATTGAAGAGCGTCTGGAGCTTGATTACCAGCTTGGTGAGGATATCAAGGAAAAGCTCATTCCCCGTGCCATTGACTGGTTCACCGGTGAGGCTCTCCAGTTCGAGGAGCTCGGTGAGGATATGGAGGATGATGAGTTCGAGGATGAGGATGATGAGGATGAGGAGGACGATGATGAGGACGAGGAGGATCTCGGCTCGGACCGTGAGGTGGACGAGGAGGACACAGACGAAGAGGTATGGCATACAACACTCACCGATTCAGATCAACCTGCTAACTTTCACCAGGATGGTACTTCCAAGCCCAAGAAGGAGGCCGCCGAGTGCAAGCAAAACTAAACGAAAAAAGTTGCCGGTGGTGAATGCCCAACATGAGACTATTCGTACTCTCTGATATTTTGCTTTGCTTTCTGCCTTTTTTGTGCCCCCCTGCGTGACCTCTCTATCTTCTAATACTCAATCAATACTTGACATAATCGGTGTGTAATACTTGCGTCCAACGCTGTAAGGACTTGCACCCCATAGCTGAGACACTCTGTCTTAATAAAATGTACATATGTACATATAGGTCTACGGGTATACTCAATCAGGAAGCAATACCAGAGACATGACCTACATGTATTCAAAAGTTTCAGATAAAACAGACCTTTTCTTTAATTTCTTTTAATTTCTCTAATGTATAAATGAAACAAATAAGTAATTAGCATAAAGTCGAATAAATAATGTAAACAGTAAATAGGTACATGTAGTACCTTGCGTACAATGGGCGGTGACAGGCTGTGGGGGTGTGGCGCCCCCCAGTATATTCCCTAAGCTCCTTCAGGGGCTCTCGCTAAATGGCCAGTTAGTCTCAAGGGTTTTCTTTCCACTCCATCTATTTCTTATCTTCAATCTTTTATTCTATTCTTTCGGAATATGAGATGAGGGGTTGAGAAGTCCCCCTTGTCTTTGGACCCCGTTTCGATACACCTCCGAAAACACCCATTCCCGGAGCTTCTGCAAATATCCCGCTTTTATTACATCCAGAACGATTAACGACCTACATTTCCCATGGCGCACATCTATGAGGTCGGCACACGGGCCTGGCAGCCCGATCCGACAGAAGGATGGCTGGCATCCGAGGTGAAGGAGAAGCTGGAGGATGGAGAGAAAGTGCAGCTCATTTTCGAGTTGGAAAATGGAGAGGTAGGTGTCTTGGTCGCTGGATGCTGGACGCGCAATCCTGTATCTTTAGTTATTGGGGCCGACTGACGCTGTTTTGATCGGGGCAGACAAGAACCGTGGAGACCACGCAGTCCGAGCTGCAGGTCGATAACAACCCCAAACTACCTCCGCTTATGAACCCTGCCATGCTTGAAGCAAGCGAAGATTTGACGAATTTGTCTCACTTGAATGAGCCCGCTGGTTTGTCTTGCTTCTAGGTGTCTTGTACCGCCTTCCCAGCTAACGGCCCTTTGAAGTCCTCCAGGCTATAAAACTCCGCTACGCCCAAAAGGAGATATATACCTACAGTGGTATCGTCTTGATCGCAACCAATCCATTCGCCCGAGTCGATTCGCTGTACGTACCGCAGATGGTGCAGGTTTATGCTGGGAAACAACGTGCCTCGCAGGCGCCTCACCTGTTCGCAATTGCGGAGGAAGCTTTCGCGTAAGATTCGTCCACCTCTTGCCTTTTTGGGTTTGATTTCGCTCACACTTCATACAGTGATATGCTTCGCGATGGAAAGAACCAGACGATTGTGGTCTCTGGTGAGTCTGGAGCCGGTAAGACCGTGAGCGCCAAATATATCATGCGCTACTTTGCGACCCGCGAGTCTTCCGATCAGCCTGGAAAGTACAGCACCAGCCGCGCAGAGGCAATCAGTGAAACCGAAGAACAAATCTTAGCTACCAACCCGGTCATGGAAGCGTTCGGTAACGCCAAAACCACTCGCAACGATAACTCCTCCCGTTTCGGTAAATATATCGAGATCATGTTCGATGACCGAACGAATATCATCGGAGCTAAGATCAGAACGTATCTTCTCGAGCGATCGAGACTTGTCTTCCAGCCTCTCAAAGAGCGCAATTACCACATCTTCTACCAGCTGGTAGCCGGTGCTTCCGACGCGGAGAAACAGGAGCTGGGTCTCTTGGCTGCCGAAGACTTTGAGTATCTGAACCAGGGTGGCACTCCAGTGATCGACGGTGTCGACGATAAGGCTGAGTTTGAGGCGACCAGGAAGTCGCTGGCTGTGATTGGCGTGTCGAAGGAAGACCAGACAGGCATCTTCCGCGTTCTCGCCGCTTTGCTACACCTTGGTAATGTCAAGATCACAGCTACTCGCACGGATTCGTCAGTCTCGTCGACCGAGCCTGCACTTCTCCGCGCGTGTGAGATGCTTGGAATCGACCCTACTGAGTTTGCGAAATGGATCGTGAAGAAGCAACTTATCACACGTGGCGAGAAAATCACCTCCAATCTGACACAGCAACAGGCTCTGGTTGTCCGAGACTCCGTCGCCAAGTTTATCTACTCGAGTCTATTTGATTGGCTGGTGGACAAGATCAACCGCCGCCTTGCTACCGACGAAGTGCTTGAGCAGTTCAAATGCTTCATTGGTGTTCTTGATATTTACGGGTTCGAACATTTCGCCAAGAACTCTTTCGAACAATTCTGCATCAATTATGCCAACGAGAAGTTGCAACAAGAATTCAACCAGCATGTGTTCAAGCTTGAGCAGGAAGAATATGTCAGAGAAGAGATTGACTGGACATTCATTGACTTTTCGGATAACCAACCTTGTATCGATCTTATCGAAGCGAAGCTCGGCGTCCTGGCCCTTTTGGATGAAGAATCTCGACTTCCCATGGGTTCGGATGAGCAGTTTGTCACCAAGCTGCACCATCACTTTGCGGCTGACAAGCAAAAGTTCTACAAGAAACCCCGCTTCGGAAAATCTGCGTTCACCGTCTGTCACTATGCAGTCGATGTCACTTATGAGTCTGATGGATTTATCGAAAAGAACCGTGACACTGTGCCGGATGAGCATTTGGAAGTGTTGCGCAATTCCTCCAATCCTTTCATCAAGGAGATTCTAGACACTGCTGCGGCCGTTCGTGAGAAGGACTCTGCTGCTATGTCATCCAAGCCAGTTGCAGCAGCTCCAGGGCGCCGGATTGGCGTTGCAGTTAACCGGAAACCCACGCTTGGAGGAATCTTCAAGTCTTCGCTGATTGAATTGATGCACACCATCAACAGTACAGAAGTTCATTACATCCGTTGCATCAAGCCCAATGAGGCAAAGGAGGCTTGGAAATTCGAAGGTCCCATGGTTCTCAGCCAGCTGAGAGCTTGTGGTGTCCTGGAAACTGTCCGTATCAGTACCGCTGGCTATCCAACCCGATGGACTTACGAGGAATTCGCCGTTCGCTATTACATGCTGTGCCATTCCTCACAATGGACCTCGGAGATTCGGGATATGTGCCATGCAATCCTCCGAAAGGCCCTGGGAGATGAAAAGCAAGATAAGTATCAGCTTGGTCTGACTAAAATCTTCTTCCGGGCTGGTATGCTTGCATTCCTGGAGAATCTCCGAACGTCCAGGCTGAATGAATGTGCCATCATGATCCAGAAGAACTTGCGTGCCAAGTATTACCGCCGCCGCTACCTCGATGCTCGTGAAGCAATTCTCACCACTCAGGCCTTCATTCGGGGCTTCTTGGCACGGCAACATGCCCATGAGATTCGCCGGACTAAGGCTGCTACTACGATCCAGCGGGTCTGGCGTGGCCAGAAAGAGAAGAAGCGGTACACTCAAATCCGCAAAAACTTCATTCTGTTCGAGTCTATCGCCAAGGGATTCTTGTGCCGACGCAACATCATGGACTCTATCAATGGAAATGCGGCCAAGGTCATTCAACGTGCTTTCCGCTCCTGGCGTCAACTCCGGGCCTGGAGACAGTATCGTCGCCAGGTTATCACTATCCAAAACCTCTGGAGAGGTAAAGAGGCAAGAAATGCCTATAAGAGACTTCGCGAGGATGCTCGTGATCTCAAGCAGATTTCTTACAAGTTGGAGAACAAGGTGGTTGAATTGACCCAGTACCTGCAATCTCTCAAGCTTGAAAATAAAACCTTGGTCTCACAGCTGGACAACTACGATGCCCAATTGAAGTCATGGAGAACCCGGCACAACGCCTTGGAGGCTCGCACGAAGGAACTCCAAGTCGAAGCAAACCAGGCTGGTATCACTGCAGCCCGGTTAGAGGCGATTGAAGAGGAGATGAGTAAGCTTCAGCAAAGCCACATTGAAGCCCAGGCTACCATCAAGCGCCTCCAAGAAGAGGAGAGAATCTCGCGCGATGCTCTTCAAACCGTCAACGAGGAGTTGGAGCGTCTCAAGCTCTTGGATGCCGAGCATGAGAAAGATAAGACTGGTCTCCGGCAGCGGATTTCCGATCTTGAGGAACAGCTCGAGATTGCCAAGAGATCTGTGCCTTTGAATGGCGTGAACGGCGATGGTCTAGCCAACGGTGGCACAGTCCAGGCCCCTACCCCGGGTTTGATCAACCTAGTATCTTCAAAGAAGCCTAAGCCCAAGAGACGTAGCGCCGGCGCTGAAAGGATCGAGACGGACCGCTTCAGCGGTGCATACAACCCTCGGCCTGTTTCGATGGCGGTTACCCCTGGATCTATGGCTGCCCGTCAAAATGCGGCCATCTCTCCTGGCCTAGAATCGGTCGAGGTGGAACTCGAGAACTTGCTTTCTGAAGAGGAAGACTTGAACGAGGAAGTCGCTATGGGTCTTATCCGCAACTTGAAGATTCCGCTCCCAACTTCGACACCGCCACCAACTGAAAAGGAAGTCCTGTTCCCTGCATACCTGATCAACCTTGTTACGTCGGAGATGTGGAACAACGGATTTGTTAAGGAGTCGGAGCGATTCTTGGCCAACGTTATGCAGTCCATCCAGCAAGAAGTTATGCAGCATGATGGGGACGACGCGATCAACCCCGGTGCGTTCTGGTTATCTAACGTGCACGAGATGCTCTCCTTTGTCTTTCTGGCCGAGGATTGGTATGAAGCACAAAAGACCGAGAACTATGAGTATGACCGCCTGTTGGAGATTGTCAAGCACGACCTCGAGAGCTTGGAATTCAACATCTATCACACTTGGATGAAGGTCTTGAAGAAGAAGCTGTACAAGATGATTGTTCCAGCCATCATCGAGTCTCAATCACTTCCCGGCTTTGTCACCAGTGAAACGAATCGCTTCCTTGGAAAGCTTCTGCCCTCCAACAATAACCCAGCTTACAGCATGGACAACCTTCTCAGTCTATTGAACGGTGTATACAAGGCAATGAAGGCCTTCTACCTTGAGGACGCCATCGTCCTCCAGACCGTCACGGAACTCTTGCGCCTAGTTGGTGTCACTGCTTTCAACGATCTCCTCATGCGACGCAACTTCCTGTCGTGGAAGCGTGGTCTGCAAATCAACTACAACATCACTCGTATTGAGGAGTGGTGCAAGAGCCATGATATGCCAGAGGGGACGTTGAAGCTAGAGCATTTGATGGTAAGGTTTCTTGTTTGATATTAATTTGATCATTATACTAACGCCTTGACAGCAAGCAACCAAGCTTCTGCAGCTGAAGAAGGCTACTCTGAATGATATTGAGATCATTCAAGATATTTGTTGGATGTAAGCGGACCCTGGAGGTGTCCTTTCTATGAGTTCAAATAACTAATTTGTTACAGGCTGTCTCCGAACCAAATTCAGAAACTTCTGAACCAGTACCTGGTGGCAGATTACGAACAGCCCATCAACGGCGAGATCATGAAGGCCGTCGCTTCTCGCGTCACAGAGAAGAGCGATGTGCTCCTCCTGGCTCCGGTAGACATGGAGGACAGTGGTCCGTACGAGATCGCCGAGCCGCGTGTTATCACTGCTCTGGAGACCTATACCCCATCCTGGCTCCAAACACCGCGGTTGAAACGACTTGCTGAGATTGTGTCTGCGCAAGCGATGGCACAGCAAGAGAGGCTCGAATTTGACCATGGGATGATGGAGGAATAGATCTGTACCTGTTGTATATTAGACTTTGGGATTTCCTGTGAGCTACGGATTACGACTTGCCTGGATTATCCATGGCCTTTGCGATACAGTGATGCGCATGATTTTCATTTGTTTTCAATTGCATATGACGTCTTGGCTTATAGACCAGAAGAGATTGCTAAGAGAATTCCTGTAAATGAGTTTTCCTCCAACATAAACGACCAATCCAAATACCACAATGTTCAAAGGGTTGACTCGATCCCGTCGTGAGCAGGCTCGCTATCCTTGCTTTCTTCCAGGCTGTCTTCGGCTTTCGCCTTTTCTTGACTCTTCAATTTCGCGTGAAATGCCAGGGTGTACTCATCTGGATCCCAGGATAAAGTCCTGGTCTCCATCTCCATCACCTTTCGAGCAACTAGTAGTTCCATCTCATCCCTTTCCTTCTCATCCAAAAGGCCCAATCTCTCTTTCCATGCTCTCTCGATATCCTGAGCAGGTCCAAAAAACCGGGGGTCAATCTTCTGCCAGTAAATCTCATCAAAGGCAAAGCTGTGCATCGCTGCATACGTAATCCAGAAATCACCACTCTCCCAGCTCTCATACATAGGACCGGAAAGTCGCTGGTCTTCTCTCAGCCGGCCTTTCTGGATTGCTGTGTCTTCACAATCCTTCATCGCCTTAAGAAATGTCTTTAGACGATGTCCAAACACTCTTGTCCAATCCTCAATCCCCTTTACCCAGAACTCAGGCTTCTCAATAAGCAACCACTAAGGCGGCGCATAGGAAAATTCAACGGGGGCTGCGTATGTGAACTCCCAATCTACCACCCCGGCAATCTGCGTAGGGTCCTCATTGAGTAACACATTAGCCGGCCGTAGATCATCATACCAAGTTTTGAAAGGCCCTTTCTCGAGTAATGGGTTCGTGAGTTTTTTCTCCCTGGCTAGCTTGCGGAAAAGCCGCCGTGCCACGAATTTTCGCCGGCAGTCGTCTGCGGGATTTATGGAATCCACGCAATCGTTTCTTTGATGCACAAAATGCTCAATGTTAATGTTTGCAAGGGCTTCCATGTATGATGACGATGTGTCAAATGTAGTATTTATATCGGGAAGCTTTGACTGTGGTAAGCCTCCTCTTCGGACAAGCTCGTTCATGTTCATTGTTAAAGGCCGGCGCGTGACCTCCCAAGTAAACTCGTTGATTTGGCTGAGAGATCCGATACGAGGCAAAGAGGGTAAAGAGAGCTGAAGTAGCATTCCAGCTAGCTGGCCATATAGCAGTTCAAGTCTGCCTTCGTCGATGTTTAGGTCTAGGACCCCACGCTCCTCTATCGGACAGCCCGGTGTGTTAAGAGCGGCGTACATCTTTGTTTCATGCTCGATATATTCCATCATGATGAATGAACCGAGTTCGAGGGGGCTCTCTTGCTTTGTACCGGAATGAAGAACGAGAGGAATGGTTATCGATGTCTGATCCATAAGAAATCGCATGATAGCAACTTCATTCACGACTTTCTCCTCGGGGAACATGACAGCACCAGGCTGTGACAACCGGATCACAGTAGCTCCGCTATCTCTATTGTCGTACTTTAACCACACAGAAATGTTGTAAGATCCTTTGTTGAGTATGCTAACCTCAGAAGCAGGTCCTCTATTGTGAGTGAGGATGAAGATTGCGATCGATCTCAAGACATCATGTTCAATAAACTGAACAAGCCACTTGTCAGATGTTTCTTCGGCTTGCTCCCAGAGTAGGTCGTCAGGGGTCATATTAAGTTGCATCTTGGCCGTATAATCAACAGTTCAGTAGGGTTACAGGATATCCTCTATGCCCAAGATTCTTTGCATGTGGAAAGGAGAACAAAACAAACAGCCCAGGTACCTTCTGGGGTTCGATATCACCTGACCTTTTGTTGCCCAATAATACTCGGGAAACCCCCAATGGTTGGTAGAACCTGGTTGACATGTCACTTTTTCCTTCTCTGATATTGTTGGATTTGGCACCGTCTCTCCATTTTACGTCCCGTCTTACTCTAACCTTGTCTGACACAGGGGGGCCATGAGCGTTTAAGCTGCCTATATAAGTCAAGTTTTCACTCAACTATTCTCCTCAACCAACGATTTATGTTGATGATGAGCATAGGACTCCCTGGTCATTGTAACACTCTTTCGTTGAGGGCTATTACTTTCCAATCATTATGCGCTCAGATGTCCTCCTCAAACACACAGACTAGCTTGCCTAAGCGACTCAACTCCTATAACTCGAGCCTGGAGTATTTGAGCAGCACCAACAGGATCATTTTTCATCTATTCATGGTGCCAACAGCTCCTATACAGTCATTTTCTAAGTATCAGACAGTGCGCACTTTGAATACTCATTTTCCCATTGGTTTCTATTCTAGCTACTAAATATGGTCAGCTGGTGTTCTCCAGCTTGGGTGAGAGACAGTCATGTCTTGTTTGAGGTATAAGTACCACGAAGATTGTCCACAATTTTGTCGCTCCTCAACCCGAGGTCCAAACAGCCTACCAGTCTTCAAATTGAATTCTTTTGCTTGACAAATATCTTCAGAATTAGCAAACGTCTTGAAATCCGGCATATCGACAAGACTCCAACTCTTATACTTGCAATTTGCTGACCCTGAAAGGTCCGTTTACACCGTCACCTCTAAACATTCGGCATTCACAATTATCCGCCGATTCGTGGCACAACTACTGCTACAGCAGCATGGCGGATTTCAGAGAGGCCAAACGTGACCGGACTGCTCAGCAGCTGAGCACTCCGGCCCCCTCTGCAACCGCGGATCCCAAGCAGGTTGACCGTGACCAGACGGCTCATCAACTCGACATTCCAGCCTCTGCTGCAAACGCCCTTCATAAACAAGGTGAGCAGTCTAGCGAAAAACGGCAAAGCTCCCATGATAAAACACAGGTCCAGGTTCCCAACCCGGCAGAGGCGGAAGCTATGTGAAAGACCGCTGAAAGATCGATTGAGAAGAGGCAGAATGCCACTGAGCAAATCGTCAACCTCTGCACATCTTCCCCTTAAATGACCTATTTAGTGGCCTATATTCCCGTCTTTATTTTCGTTGAAGCTTTCTGGCATTGATGTTCGCGGTATCTGCCAGCTCGATGCTTCTCTAGAGCTTCATAGCAGCCAACTTTATGAGTAGACGGTGAATTTTTGGGGAAATGGCATTTTCGCTTCAGTGTATTGTTAGGGTGCAGCGAGTAATCGCATCCTAGCAGGATGTTTGGAGTGAAGGTGTCAGTATGAAGGCCGTGATAATCCAGGGCCCATCGCTTCTCTTTCAAGGTATCGCATTCTCGAAGAATGCAGGTGCTTGCCTTTTAATTGAACCATGTACTTATAGCATAATGAATTACTTGTTTCCATTCATACCCCATCCTGGGTTACAAGCTAAACCAAGACAATTGTTCAACAATAACAACTAGAATATTATCAGAAAACAGCAGACTAGTTTCTCGACGTTCTCTCTCTTGCTAGCTACCAATGTAGCGCTATAGTAACAGATAAATTTCCCGATATATCTTAGAATAGCCTAAGTCTACGTTGTCATCGGGGCTGGCAAGCTTGGCTTGATTCCGAATTCCTCGGCTCCTTAGATATGTACATAATACTGACTATTTCTATTATCCAAGCGGATGGATTCTCGTCTATGGATCCTACCTATCGCTGAAGTACCACCACACCCAAACATCAGTAATCCTACCCAGATGGCAATACCTAGGTCCCTATAGCTTATCTATCCATAGCCAAGTGGCGACAGATAACATCAGAATGGTAAATCAAGCCGCTAATGGAGCCCTACAGCACAGTTCTAGCAAAGCAGCGAACACAACAGCCCGATATAGCTTTTCCAAGATAAAATACGAATAAAATCATTTCAAAATTCAGACAAAACATTTAGGGGACCTTTTCCTTAACTGTTTGCATGAGAGAATCCCTAGGGGGGTCGCGGTCAGCGGTAGCGCAGTGGGGTATTCCAGAGTCTTATCTTCGACCTCGCAACTTCGAAATCCATACCACATACCATACCCGTCTCTATCTACATAGCCAATATGACTCTCACCAAGCTCAACTTCATCACCGGAAATCAAAACAAGCTCCGCGAGGTGCGGGATATCCTCGGCAAGGTCATCGAAGTTGACAACCAGGAGGTCGATGTCCCCGAGATCCAAGGCACAATCGAGGAAATCGCCAAAGAGAAGGCTAGACGTGCCGCCGAAGCGGTAATTTTCTTCCTAGAACTTTTTTTTCCTGAAATTATATCTGCTTACGAGTGAATAGATCAATGGACCTGCCTTGACCGAAGATACCGCGCTTGAGTTCCATGCGCTCAAGGGTCTCCCTGGACCATACATGTATGTCTTTGCTATGGTAAACGATTACTCTAAATAATAGTACTGATGATTTCCAAGCAAATATTTCATGGAGAATGTGGGCCACGAGGGCTTGAACAAGATGCTCGATGGCTTTGAAGACAGGACTGGCGAGGCTGTGTGTACCTTTGCCTTTTGCCGGGGCCCTGGTGAAGAGCCTATTGTTTTCCAGGGGAGAACTGAGGTGAGACAAATGCAGTTATTTCAAATCTATATAAATCTAACTGTGATGTACAGGGTACTATTGTGCGGCCCAGAGGCCCAGCAAAGTTTGGTAAGTGCACATTCAACCGAGTTTCGCAGAGGATCAAGATCTGATAAATGACAGGCTGGGACGCTATCTTCGAATATAACGGCAAGACATATGCTGAGATGGACAAAGATGAAAAGGTAAGAACGATCTTGTTTCCCGCAAAAAGAAGCCATGTACTAAGAGCTCCGCGAATAGAACGAGGTCTCGCACCGGGGCAAGGCGCTGGTGAAGTTGCAGCATTGGCTAGCCGAAGGCCAACAGTAAATCGCCATGGGTATATAACTCGGCCTGCAAAAGACCATAGAAGAATGAGAAATGAAGATCAAAAATTTTATATGGTCCGACGAATTCCCTTAATCCGCATTCTCCACGTGCGATTGTTTCCATGAATCAACCCATTGCGCGATCCGCTGGCAGTTCGAGTCCACATCTGAATCCTGCTCGCTGTTCAATTCCACCACGATCTCTTCGTCGAATGCCTCCCGCGCTTCGTCTGATAGGACACCGAAGATTTCTGCGTCAACGTTCTCGTCCAGCTTTTTCTCGTGATATCCCCTTGAAATAAATATGTTAGTTCGAAGGTGTAGATAGGGCTGAGGGGTCGGTTGCTATACCGTGAGGAAAGTCGGTCATATAGAATATCTGTAGTGGGGCAGCGGAGGACAACGACGAGATCGATCCAGGACTTGGGGAAGAGGTCGCAGGCGTGCCAGTCAATTAAGTAGCCACCATTAGGAATTTCGTCTTCGAGGGCATCGAGGAGCTACGTCGCGCATGGATTAGCATGTGGATTTTCGAGTCTTGAACCATGGTGGAACGAGTAGCATCCCAGCCGAAGAGCAGATCATTGTGGGAAACAATCTTACCTTATCCTCATCGACCACCCAGGTCTTCAATTCCTCGTCATATTCATCGAAGCACCCACGGTCCTTTGCAACCTGATTAATGGACAGGTGCTTGAGGCCGAGCTCTTGCGCGAGTTGTTCGCAATGAACGGTCTTCCCCACGCCAGGGGTGCCGGTGATAATCAAATTTGGAGAGGTGCGCATATTTTCTTATAAGGATAGAGATCTTAAAGTGGAATTGTAGATTGTAGATTGAAGATGGTTTCCCCAGATGAAATAATTCCATCGGACTAATTTTTGTCCCGGCTATCTTATCGTGGAGGGGTAAGTTACCGCTTTGGGAATGTATAAAAGAGTAGGACATTTATAGTAACTTTGCTTTGCTTTTATTTTTCACCAACCATAATACAAACATTTCAAAGATATGCAATGTTAAGTGAATCGAGTTGATTCTATGTGGCTTCATGTTTCGGGGTGGTTATACATAGCCTAGTACTGATTAGCATTGGAATAAGAATGAACCTTGGGAATAATCACTCACTTGAGAAGCTCGAATATCTTGTACTTTTGCAGATAAGGTGTTCCTCTGCGATATGCTTTGAGAAGGCGAGTGGGATCTGAGGGCTTCACAAAGGCCCCAATCAGACGCTCCATTGCAGGGGAAGTCTTGAACATGGGATCGAATACGAGCAGATTTGCGCTGCTGTTCTCTCGTATTTCAAATCCGACAATTGTCATAGAATGACCTGACTTGAGTTAGAGAGATATATACGTGTGGAATGCTGAAGAGGCTGTACCTTGATGTTGGAAGTATATCGGAGGGAGATCAGTTTGGACGATCTTTGTCTCGTCTTCTGGCGAGCACGCTGATCGGAAATAGTCGGCGACATCAATGTAAAGAGCATCGCAGGCCCGTACATCGCTTCTCTCTGACAGACTTCTTGCTTCGCATCTGGATATCGGGGTCAGCGGGGATCGAAGCGAAGCAGACTAGACAACTCACGGAATTCCTAGGCTCATGAAAAGTGCTTGTGCCTGGGTACTCGTTAGCATATAGAAGATAATCGATACTGGTCAAAGATTTACCTCAGGTGTCCCAATAAACTTGCGCGTACCTTTGATACCACCTGTCTCGGCTCTTCCAGAACTGTTGAACCCCATATCCCAGGCCGATTCAATCATATCCTGCAGCTCAAGGATCGTTGGTCCCTTATTTGGAAAGTGCTCATGGCCAAAGCCACGAGACTTTTTCAGCCAAGAAACCACCATTTGAATATTGCGATAGCCGCAAAAGCCGCCTTCGCGACGCATTTTGCAGATATGGCGGACTTTGGGGCTACAGAAGAATGCCCGCTGGACGGATTTGTCCTGTTCGCATAGCCGAGCAAGAACAGGAATCAGATGCTCGGTCTCATTTTCTACTGTCTCGCGTCTTGTGAATTTGCCGTCTGATGTGATTTGGGTTTGCTTTGATATGCTGCCGCCCTTTTCTAGCATTTTCTTTAGCCAAGATGGCATTTTCTTCTCATGGGCATGAGGACCCAGCTCCGAGCGCTGGATATCCGTTAGTGTTTTTTTCTTTAAAGATGCAAATTGGGGCATATACCCCTAATCTCTTTGTGCCATGGGCATTGGTGGTCCTTGGCGGACTGTGAGGCCGTGGTGGCTTGGCAGTGTTTATTCGCGAGGAGTCTCGTTGCATCCCGCGCTTGCCTCCTTTGTGAGAGTCGAGCATGTCGAGGGAATCATCATCATCATCATCATCATCAAAGGACCGATCATCCCCATGGCCATATGCATCTGCAGTTGAGCGTGCCGTTGTGGCCCCGAGATCATCTAGTGCCATGTCCTCTGCAACGTGCAGATCCAGGTGACTCGGGAGCTCAGCGCTTGCTATTGTCTCACCACATCCATGTGGACAGTCGACATATTTGTCTACGCCATCCTCGTCCACTGGCAGTGGAGCCGAGTTTTGGCTGGTAAATTGTTGTGGGTTGTCCTGTAGGAAACCAGTTTCCCCAGTTTCTGGATGGCAGAATTCGATATGTTGGGATACAAAATCAGCATCTGAGTCTGTGAAAGGACAAAAAGGGCATGATATCGTGTTTTCCGTCATTATGGAGTTTTTTTTCATCCAGTGCTGACGCTGAGAGGGGAAATTGTTAGGTTGCTTGGTAGTCACTTGTGAGAGGAGAAAAATATGTGTATGCCCAGAATGTAGAAGAAGTAAAAAAAAAGAAAAGCCGAAGTTGATCAAACAGTACAGTTAGAAGTATGTACAGAATAGTATAGACAAAGAATTAATTTGATGCCTAAACGAGTGCCCGTTTCCCGAGACCCACTACGGCGGAGTTTAGCGTCCAATCCGTACTTGCATGTATGTAGTACATCGTTCTTTCCATCTTTACCTTGTTACCTTCCGGACTTCCTTTCAAGGTTCCTTCCTTTCCTGAGTGTTTACATGTAAACATTGAACTTTGGGTAATTGCTCCCGACTTATCACATGATCATTTTATTATGTAATCCGAATGACGAGCCCTGGAGCCCTCCCTGGAGGCACCCGAGGTCACCTGGACTGGGGAACCTTACCTTTTTGGGCAATACCTAAAATGCACCACACTAGCCCTGTCCATATGTACATATTCTTTCACCAACACTCTTGACCGTTGTCCCATTAAAGGGCTGATGTCATTAATGTTTATAAATTGACCTACTCCGTAAATGTCAATAATTTCTCTCGGAATCTTGTCTGTGACTAAATCTACATAGCTGCAGTCAATTCCACAGTCCAGGCCACTCACAAGCCGCCATTTTACCCCCTGAGTGCTGATCTTATATGGATGACCCACCAATATCCCACCAAATCCCCGACATCCCCATAAACAGCCACCACATCCATGGATGCCAGAGGCTTGAACTGAGTGCTCATCTGCCAAGAGTTCTTGGAGCCGCGATGACAAGTGTCGAGCAGAAATCGCAGTTCTCTGATCGCCGCCGGAGGAAGTGGGCCCCCAAGCTCAAGTCCGGGTGTATGACCTGCAAGTAAGATCTAAAATCTCTTTTTCAAATACCAGAAGCACTCGCTGACCCCTCTACAGAGTTCGCAGAGTCAAATGCGATGAAGAAAAGCCTCACTGTCGGCGATGCATCTCGACAGGTCGGAAATGTGACGGATATGCTCATCCACCTTTTGCGGTAGAGGTTCTCAAATCATGTCACAATGATGATTCCTGTCGACAGCGACTCGTTAAGGTGAGCAGTTCACACGAACGACCTTTGGATGATATAATCACACTGAATAGTGCGATATCATCGGTCCTGGAAGTTCATCTCATTTATTTGAGAGTCACCCTTTGGACGAAGTAACAATCCCATATACGCATCTTTCAGAAAGAACTGACGGATTTCCAATACTTTCTGGACGAAATTTCCCCCTGACATACCCCTTGGCCGAATCGTGGAATACCCATTTCATGCCATTCGTCATCAGTAATTTCAGGCTCTCATTTAAAATGGCCAAAAGCATCTACAATACCTTCCCCGATGTTCTTTCCAAAGCGGAGGAGAAGTCTGCTCTATATCAGGCATGTAATGCCGTCGCATACGCTTATGTGGCCAACATTACCCGGACTTCGAAGGCAACCTCGGATCGAGCCAAAGCATACGGATTTGCGCTTATGGCCCTCCGTTCAGCTGTCCAGGATTCTCAGCTATACAAAAACGACAATACATTATTAGCCATATGGCTGCTAGGACTATATGAGGTAAAATTCGATGTAGCCATTGACTAATATCGACTCCGCTAACACTTGAATTAAGCTCCTCTTAGGCGCACAAAATGGCACGGACCCAGTCACGACTCCTGGATGGCACATCCACAACCAGGTACTGTCAGAGTTGATTCGACTGCGTGGGTCGGAGCAGTTTACGACCCGGAAAGGGCGGAATCTTTTTATCATAATCTTTAACAACGTAGTAAGTTAGCCTTCCATGGATAGTATTCATCGCTAAAAGCAGTGTATCAGGCAACCCAAGCACTCATGTCTGGCCAAGAGTGCAAAGAGGCATCGACATGGTTTCTTCTGTTCCATAAATATTGCGAACCATCAGAATATGCAATGCTCCGGGCATGTATTTTCTCGCACCACTCTGCCAGCATCTGCAGCCGGGCTCGTGCGCTAGTTGATACAGGGGACCTCGACGAGGTGCTGTCCAGCTCTCCGGCCATCCTCCAAGACATGGATGAAGTGGAGCAAGCAACCGATCCATTATCCCACGAGGCGGTGGCAAGCTATGTGGTAGATCCCCCAATGGCGCCGTACGCTCGGCCGAAATACGCATACCCTTGTTATGTAGGTGTGCAGGTACTCCAAAGCAACTTCCGTATGCGCCTCTCATACGCAGTCTTGGAATTCTTAGGCTATGCGTGTAAGGCGCCGGGTTGTACGCCTCAACAGCGAATGATTTTTAAGCGATACCAGCGTCGCTGTGTCGAGGAGATCGAAGCTCTTGTGGATAAAGTCTCACGTATACTGGATGTGTTGCCTGATGAGGGCTCTGATGAGCTCCTTGATCAGAGTAAAGGCGTAGTGGCTGAACTGGATGACAAAGATTCCCACACTGGAGGGTCACCAGACACCGAACAAGCTCCATTCAAAGAACCACACGACCGATCCACCCCAGCTGTGAGGGCTTACCTTGACTTTCAACAGCCAATAGATGGGAAATCCACTCTACTATTTAAGCACTCTGACTGTGGAGTGTCCGTTCTCCGGTTTGGGTTCGGAGAGACAAACAAACTAGAGGCAGGCTAGACCTAGCCCCAATCCAAGACATGTGTCTTTTCTTTGCACTTCGCAGTGGCTTTGTCTCCGGTGGAGATACAACGTACGTCTTCTATATCCTAAATAGACTCCGTTTGGAATATTTCGATTCCACATCACCCTCGGAATAATCTCTCATATATGTAATTCTAGCAACAGAGGGCATATTGGCACAGCACAAAGATATAAACAGTATTTTCTCACTCCATCTCATGGGGGTTGTGTCGACTTGATAACTCTGCCGGTACACTCTTCGCTGGAAGTTCTCCAACCTGAGAATTCTGCGCTGGTAGACATACGGGGTACTCCGAGACCTTTGATGTTCCCTCTATTGGATTCCATTGCACGGGATCTGTCTTGCTCTTACGCCTGCGACTCACCAACCAAAACACCACTGCCGCAACCAAAGCCAAGCCAGCCACGACGCCAACCACTGGGCCTGCAATCCAGGCCTTTGAGGACGGGGACGACTGATGTTCCGAGGTTGTTACAGCGGTTTTTGTTGGTGCGGACGTTGACGTCCCCGTATGACCAGGGGAGGCATTCGTTGCAGCAGTTTCGGTGGGAAGGTTCTCCAGCCCCGATGGAACTGCCAAGGTATTATACTTCAGGTTCATTGAAGATATCGAGGCGGTCATGGTATATGCCGAGGAGTAATTTTTCGTTCCACTGGAGATCCATGTGCTAGTAGAAAAATAGCAAGAGGCACCGAGTGTAGACTGGGTCATGTTGCAGTCTAGTGTCCCGGTGACGATAAATATAGTGCTATTCCAAAAGCTGGTGATGTCGTAATGATAGTCCTGGAAGGAGGGACCGGCAGTGAGAGTCTGGGGCAAGATATAGGCGGAAGAGGTGCATTGGTTGGTTGCGCTAGATCGGCAGTCAATCTGAATTGTGGTGGCTGTGGCATCGGCACTTATGACACTTCCTTCCAAGTTGTTCAAGTCCATTTCGTGCAGGGCTGGGAAGAGAATGTCGACGTTTTTCGATTGTGGCGTTTTGGCCGCTGCCATAAGTATCATTGAGGCTATGGCCAAGGCCATACTAATGATGTTGATATCGTGAAGGGTCATCGTGTCATAACAAGGAAGGATAATATAGGATATTTGACGTCCCAGTCTATATTGTAGGGGATTGAACTCTTTAATAACAGCAGAAATGATCAGTCCTAGTGCACGGGTCCACCATGGCCTCTTTTGTCAGTGCTTGGTTAGTGTGAGAACAGAGGCCGGGAATGAGATGGCGATCATCATTATTATGATTGGATCGCTGGGATAATAGTGGGAGGTAAAATCTTTCACCAAACTAAGATGTGATCTTACGAATGTAAAACGCTGGAATCCCAAGTAAATGTCGAGTACAAAAAAAGGATTGTACTAAACACAATCCTAAAGCAAAAGGTAGTCAGATGAGAATCATCTACACACAATTCTCCTATTCCTCTTGGAAATTGAAATTTACGTTATGCCCAACTTAGGGTTTAGAGTGGATTCCGTTTTTGGGGCCAAAAAGGAGACGGCAGGACGGGCTGGAGAGGGACGTGCAACTTGCTTGGAGCATTTATGCACTTCCAAATGCTAATGTAGTCGATGTGTCTCAAGCTTTACTGCTTATACCTCAGGATTTCCTGCTTATAATTCCCTGTATGATCAGCGCTACACCTAATCTATAGGGCTTGGGTTTAAACCCTAATTTTCCACTTAGCTTTGTAGCTAAGCTTTTTGGGGGCATAAAAGGCAGATCAGAATGTTGCATTGCATATCAACTGCTGTTTGAGGGTGAGCCGAGGCGCATAGATGGTGACTGCTACGGGGGACTAAGTGTGTCACCTGGACACAACTCTTTCATTGGATCAAATTGCCAGTAATTTAGTCCTCACTTTCTAGGGTTAGGAGCAAATAAAGTCTCTAATCAAGATTCAATTAACTCGTTTACCATATATATACTCTAAGTGTATTCAATAGATACTTCATAGTTATATACTCTGTGGTAGTTCCATATTATAAACTAATTTTGTTCATTTTTTAGAAAGAAGCCACAAAAGACTAGTAAAAAGACCAGGTAAGAGGTAGTATTAAGCCTACATAGTCCACAGTGTTAAACTAGTGTATATAGTCTAGCGTGCCTTAGCACCCTACCCTTCCTTGGTTTCTCAGGCCTTAACTTCTTAGGTACCCCTTTCTTAGTATACAAATACAAATGGCATATATACTTCAAGAAGGCGGTGATAGCTTCTGGTCAGGCAGTGTCCAATAAGAGAGTTATGTCCAGGTGGCACATTTAGTCGCCCGTAGACTGCAGACGTGATAGGCTCGCTCGTTTGGGGACTTTCCCCGAGTACATACAGCCTTTGTATTTTCCTATTTCTCCCTGCATATTATCCATCATATCATCATAAGTACGCGCCACTTACAGATTTCGTATCATTCCCACCCTACCCTAACTAGAGATAGAGACGTGTTGTGCTCGGCTCACAGACATCCTCCGAGCTAAATGAGCAATGCAAGAAACCAACTGCCCTAGAATCATGTATATCCAGCTCTGTAGCCAAAGACGGCAGTTGCTCATCACTTCCAGCACTCGATCGACCTTCGCAGTCAAAATTCACCGTTATTGTGTGTGAAAAATTGCCATGTGACAAGACTCTATCTGGAACTTCGCCCCATTGCATCGGGTTCACTGCATGGTCAACTGCCGTAGTCATGGGATGACACGCAGCACTGATTGCCGCACTACACTGTCCAGCCAGCGGCATGTGCGATCTGAAGTGACGCAAACCCAGAGCTAAGGCGACGATGGGTAGCGAGCCACCAACGATTATTGCGAAAATGATGGCAACGGGCGAATAGCCGCAAGTAACAAGGACTTCTGGGGGGCTTGTTTGGGGTACACCATGCCGGTCGAACAGGATCACTTGGACGAAGAAAAAACTCTGGGATACAAGCCAGTGGAGTACAGCCGAGACAATCAGCAGCGGGATACTGTATCGATATGGAAGGCTGAGGTAGTATGTTGAGCGCTGGGAGCCGCGGGGCCAGGATACGCGGAGAGGTTTTCGCTCTTTGGCATAGTTGTCGTACTCGACGGCGCTGAGCATGCAAGTTAACAGGCCGTTGTAAAAGAAGTAAGCTAGTGAAACCAGTATCTGAGGTACGTTGGCCATGAAAATCATGGAGAATATTCCACTTGCGGTAGCGGGAATGCTCAAGCCGTTTAGAGTAGTCGCTGCGCTTGCATCTCCCAGGCCAGACTGCCAGATGCTCTTTGATTTGGAGGCTTTGTTGTAATTTAGAATTCCCAGGCGAAGAACAATGACGGATGGGATCAGCATGCACACGAATCTAATTGGAGTCAGTCAACTATTCGCTGAGGTCGTCATTGCCATGAGAGGAGTAATAGCATACAGGAGAATTGTATACACCCAGCGTGATAAGCTCGCAGCTTGAAACCATCGTTTTCTTGAAGGCAAACGAAGCGGAATCTCTTGTTTGGTTTCCAGAAGATCCAAAGATTTGCGTTCACAGCCCTTGTATTTCCACCATCCCTGTGTTCTCTTATTAACCAGGGACCCGGACAGCAGACAAGCTCCTTTTGTAGCTGGGTCCGGTTTGGCAAGGAAAGATGCAATCGCGTCTCCGGTGGTGAGGAAAATATCGTTTCTGTTCTCGCGCGCCGCTAACAGCGCGCAGATGAGCTTGACTATATTGCAGCCGATTACAATCAGACAAATCGGTGGACTGAAGAATAGCTGACATGTCTCCTTTGCTGGCAGGGTCATGCAGTGATCGATTGAATATAATCTCGGAGTCCGTTTACCGTAGGTTCTCGGGTACGTGCAATCGGGTTCACCTTTGCGCACTGTCACACTACCTGGGAATGAACTGTTAACCCAGCCGGAAGGATTAGCTAGCTCGGCTTGCAACTCCTCCAGGGAAGGGTATTTATCCAGAATATCATCAAGATGGTTGTAGTCCTCAGTTTCGGGAATGCCATAATGCCCAACATCCAACCATCCTCCGCTCTCATAAAGTCCGCCTGGGATAGGTACTGACAGACGTATGGTGGGACGTGACCATTTTAGTGCGTGAACAGACCAGTTCTGGGTGTTTTCTTCAGCTATACTTTTGGTGCAGGGATATTTTTCGTCACACAGCCAGCTGAATTGAGTATTGCCGCTGTCCAAGCTTTGGCTATTTCCAGTTCCTATCCAGGCCACAGACTCGTTTTGAGGCATTGAGTCCTTGGTCACCAGCACAATCATTCCGTACCCGGATGCATAGTCTTGAGCAAAGGTATCAACACATTCTTGCTTGGAGAGGGTGTTAAAACTCCCATCACGGATCGCGGCATTAAATGATTGCAATTCAATTCCGACGTTTTCTGTAAAGCATTGCTCAAATTCCGTGGAGTTGCCGTGTTCCTGAATAAGCTTATCCTGCGCTGCAACAACTGAATATTCTGTTGGCCCAATAGAGAAGTAGACAGCTGAATTATAACTAGTAGAGATTTATATCAGCTGGAATGTAATAAAATATAAGCAGTGTCAAGTCACAAACATCAAATGGATAGGCAATGAAGTGATCAGCAGGATTGATCCCAGAATGCGCCGCTTGCCTGTTTGGTAGCGAATAAGGTCCATGATATTCGGGACGCCGATTCGAATCCATGTCTTTTGACTGTGTGCTTTATCCACCTGCTCTCGCGAAGGGGCAGCAAGGCACTGCATGCAGTAGTTGCTCGCTCCTAGAAGGGCGGTGCTGAGGATGTTGATCAAGAGGTGTAAGCCCGTGGTCCAATTCTTGGAAGTCGAGCACTTTCCCATATAGAGGGAAGCAAAGGGAAAAATCTGCCCACTATTCCCCGAATATGCCAAACCAGCAGCGATGACGGTGAGGATGATGTTCAAGGCGAGTACTCCACCAATGATCCATGAACAGATCACAACACCCTTTATCCATCTATGAACAGGATCGGGATCCGTCGTTATTTGTTGCACCTTCTCCTTGGGCACTTTTGAATAATTTGGAAACCATGACCATGACCTAAAAATCGATCGTGGCTGCTTCTTTATTGTTTCTTCGACATCGTGCTGTTGCTTTTTGGGTGGCATCTCGGGGCCGAGCGCTGTCACGCTGTTACACTGTCACTGAGATCGGGAAAGACAATCCTCCCACGTCGACAGACAGTGTCAAAATCTTTGAAAGTGAAACCCGGGGAAATCAGACAGGAGACACTGGCCCTGTTATGTCATAGAACGCTAAGCTGCAGCATCTTGGCAGTGACAATCATTTTCCAGATATGGCAATAAGAAGGGCTGTGCTGTCACTAATTTCTGTCTAAGATCAGCGGGTAGAAAAGTCTCGGTACAATATACTTCGTGGGGGCCGAAACAATGTTGTTCCAGCATGATCAAGATAGGTAGTCTTTGCAGACCGTGAAGGATGAGCTGAATATAGCACTAGTATAACTATTAGAGAGAGAGAGAGAGAATGCTATTTAGTAGAGGCTACTATTGTGTTGGAGAGTAAAGAGAGGAAAAGGTTGTGGATGCTACAAACAAACGGAAGCCTGACAAATCAGGCACTATATAGATCCATGAATGTTTTGTCTCATACTGCTTGCTTTAGCCATCAACTTATGTCGAATCATGATCAATGATATCGGAATCTTCAAAAATAACACCCTCACTCTCCCGTGGCTTATATGGCGGCCTCTCAAGCCAGAGAGCAGCATGCTTGCTGAGCTTTCTCTAAAATGCACGGCAATGCACACGCGGATAGCTATTGCGGCTATTTTCTGTGACTATGAGAGTCTTTACAGTAGGATCAATACCAAGCCCACTTGGTGTGTTTGGAATGCTGCCAAATATGTCGCAAATCCTTTCTATCGTGCCGATATTCAGAAACGCGTGGCAGAGATGGGATAGATCTCGTTGATGATACGGTAATGCATCCGTTTATCCCGAATTTGAAGAAGACGCGAGCATCTTTGCAACTCGACCTAGAGCCCACTGAGTTTACTATCTGATCTTGCCTTGAGTCAAATGTGATGCAAGACCCCCATCGACACACTGGCTATTGTGATGGCCGTAGAATAAGAGCAGGACATGTAGAGAGATATGTATGGCTATCATTCGAGACACTTCGCAAAATAGACCAATTCGGGGAGCCCCCAGGATCTTGGTACTCAGATACTACGTGGTTGCAGGAGCAAACGCTTCCAGAGGATGAAGAGTGTCAAGACGAAGTTGCCTGACCCCCCGAGGTTGAGGTTTTGAAGATTATACGTGAGGACTTCGGATTTCATCATGTTAACAAAGACAATTGAAATTCAAGGATGTTTTATTGTACCATCTCATTGGCACTAGCACATAATATGAACTCATATAGTATGGAGTAGCTTTCTAGTAATACTATTAACAAGCAAAATGAATCAAGATTGGGAAGCGACGTTGGGATGCAATGCAGATACTCTATACTCCGGAAAGAAGTTCATCCGAATACAACCCAATGAGGGGCCTTTCATATGAAAATGGCGTGATTGGTGGGGCCTCCGACATCGTTTGGTTCCTGGCTGAAACAGGCAGGCGGTCTCCACTCCCATAACTCTATTGCCAATTGAGTCACAACAAAAAAAATATGCAGCCGGAAGTGGCCCCAATAGTCTCCGCTTTCGCCGATTTCCCCTCCAAAACCACTTTTGACTCTACATTATACACTGTCTTTACTTATTTTGGGTCGACATCATGGCTACCACCATTCTTGATACGAATCTGCCAGTGACCACGCAGGCCCACAGCAATTGGGTCGTGCAGAAATTCGGTGGTACTAGCGTGGGCAAGTTCGCGCGCAATATCATTGAGCAGGTGGTCCAGTATGACGCATTTTCTCGATTTCGACTTTCAACTTGAAGACTGACAATCTTATAGACCCAGCCTCGTCGATAACAGAGTCGCTGTTGTGTGCTCTGCGAGAAGCAGCTCTACCAAAGCTGAAGGCACAACCAACCGGTGAGTCATCGTGATACTTTGTAGCCATGTCACGCTTGAGATACTAATACGAATTTCTTTGGAAAAGGCTACTGCGGGCAGCACGGGACGCTGCAAATCCTCGTTCGCGGCAATATCTGACGTTGGTGGAGGCTGTTCGTTTAGAGCATGTTCAAGTCGCCCAGGAGGAGGTGCAGTCGGTAGAAATAAGAGATCAAGTGATTGTGGACATCACCGGAGAATGTGAACGGGTACTCAAGTTCCTGGAGGCCGCTCAGACCCTGGGGGAGATCAGTTCGCGATGTGTGGACAAGGTGATGAGTACCGGTGAGAAGCTGAGCTGTCTGCTCATGGCCGCTCTACTACAAGACCGCGGGGTTGATTCGCAGTATGTGGATCTTTCCGAAATCATCGATTTCCCTATCGGTGCCCACGGCTTGGACCAGGACTTTTATAATACCCTGGCAGCAGCTTTCGGCAGCAAAGTCGAGGCCTGCGGGCATCGAGTACCTGTGATGACTGGGTACTTTGGTACTATCCCCGGTGGTCTGCTCGATCAGATTGGTCGTGGATATACCGATCTCTGTGCCGCCCTTGTCGCGGTCGGAACCCGCGCACAGGAGCTGCAAGTGTGGAAGGAGGTAGATGGTATATTTACCGCTGACCCGCGTAAAGTCCCAACGGCCCATCTGCTCCCGGCCATCACCCCGGCCGAAGCCGCTGAATTGACCTTCTATGGATCCGAAGTCATTCATCCTTTCACCATGGAGCAAGTGATTCGTGCACGGATCCCTATTCGCATTAAGAACGTCATGAACCCAAAGAACGAAGGCACCATTATCTTCCCTGACTCTGTGGCTGAACTGGAGAGAACCACACCCGGACATGATCCACGTCTGTTCCGGACCCGGAGTCCTAGTCTTGCGCAGACACCGAAGCGGCCGACGGCAGTCACCATCAAGCATAATATCCTGGTGATCAACGTGCATTCCAACAAGCGGTCGCTCTCCCATGGTTTCTTTGCTGGCATCTTCTCCGTGTTGGACAAGTGGCGCCTATCCATTGATCTGATCTCGACCAGTGAGGTCCACGTGTCCCTGGCTCTTCACTCGGAAATGCCCCTTTTGAATGGAAACGGACAGGATGAGTACCAGGTCATTAACGATGATCTCCAGGGGGCATTGAATGACCTGGAGAAGTATGGAACTGTCGACATCATCCCTGAGATGGCCATTCTCAGTCTGGTGGGCAAGCAGATGAAGAATATGGTTGGGGTCGCAGGCCGTATGTTCACCACCCTCGGAGAGAACAGCGTGAATATCGAGATGATCTCGCAAGGTTAGTGAATAATTGCTGATCCCCAGTCCCCCCCCCCCCCCTCGCTCTACCCTTGTACCCTTGACTGGGGCTAACTGGATCTTTCCCCCTCGCAGGTGCAAGTGAAATCAATATCTCCTGCGTCATTGAAGAGCGAGACGCCGACCGTGCCCTGAATATCATCCATACCAGCATGTTCACCTTCTTGGACTAAACGTCCCACATTTGCATCGAGCAAAAAGTCATTGTTGTTTAAGATATCCCTTGGGTTTTATTTTGTGATAGAAAAAAGTTATGCATCCACCCGAAGTTGTGCCCCTGTCTTTAGGGGGCACGGCTTTTGTTGGGAAAACCAAGCATAGGCTTTTTTTTTGTGATGCATGGGCTTGGCGTTGTCTCATTTTTTCCCTGTTCGTTTCTTTGGTCTAGAATAGAAGTCATAGAGCGTTTGTTTCATGGGGGGTGATCTCCTCTAAGTGTTTGGGAATATTCAAATCACACCTATATCGCATATATCAGATTTCTTCTGCCACCTAGTCCCTTTCCATATTACCCCTCGTACTTTTTTGCTCATTGAATAGAACTAAGTAACTAATAACTACCTGATCTACATTAGTCATACGATCCATGTATGGTATGAGCAACATTATCTTAGATATCACATGTCACAACGTCCTAGAGGTTATGGATGGGTGAATAGACCATCAGGGACTGGAATCTGGCCATTATTATCGGCGTTTCAAATGACTATGGAGTAGCTAGATCCTTTCAATCTGGTTATTAGCATGCTGCCATTTACAATCGTAAGGTATGGTTCTAACCTGTCTATGTTGATCGCTACTGTCAAATTGGCATTACGTTTAGTTGGATCTAGCCATCTAACATCCCTGTTTAGTTTTGCTTCAGATCGAAAGACCACCTACCACCTTTAGTGTTACTGTCGGGTTGTCTCGACGCCTTTTGTGGTACTGGCCTCCTCGGCATAGATCCCCTTACCAGTGCCCTCCTTTTCCCCAACAGTGGCTCCTGGATATCTATGACGCAGTGACCAAGGCCTATTTGGTTAAGTGGAGGGCTATTACGTCGTTGAATTCTCCAATGGCTTGGGAATGGACGGGAATTATCATGGTGAAAAAGATTTACTTACGACTCCGAGTGTCCTCCGGGAAACCACAAGAAGGAAAAGCCCTCGTAGAGAATACTGTACAACGATCTAAGTGCGGAGTACAGTGCATGAATCTGTTACATGGGGTCTCTGATATACAAGCAAGGGCATAGGGAGAGAGACGAGGGATCTCCCCTAGATTCAAATAATTATCAGTTCTAGTTTCAATTTAATCCTTTATACTTTGCACTCCGTACTCCATGCTCTCTGTACGGAGTTTTGACTATTAGGTTACGGAACCTGCAGACCAGAGTTGCAGCACATGCGTTGTACGATGTAGAGCTGGACAGTCGATTGGCCCTCGAAGCACCCGAGAGCCATTTGCCACTAGCCAAGGGCGTTAGGGAGATCCTCCATGACAGCGGAGAAACAAGGGGTGAAAAGCACCGTTTCAGTTACATCGACACGTCTGCATACCGGGATGACTGGACCAATTGGAGGGTGAATGGTGGGATTTAAGAATAGTCGGTATCTGGCATTGTCTCAGTCTACTGTCATACATCTTGCAGAACTATACACACACCGTAGACCCATGTAGCCCATGACCTAAAGATAGATCTGTCTTCTAATATGCCATATATAGCAATATATGTCCAATAGTGCCATTTTCAATCAGGCAATAATGCAGACCTGACATACTTACACTCCTCGGTGGATCAGATCGACGCTAGAAAATGTGAGCAAGGGAGGGGACCCCCTTTGGTACCAGATGTTGAAATGATAATACCAATAATACCACCTGTATATGCCCCACCTTCCATAGTAAAACGCGCGACGCGTCTATAAAATAACCATACATGACATGTATTATCAGACTATATCGATCTTCCTCTCTCTCTCCTCCCCGCCTTTTCTTCTCAAGAGGAAAAATTGAACATTTCTAGAATTCTATAATAATGATTTAGTACCTACCAAGGGAAAAGAGAGAAAAAAAATCTAAAGGGCCTGATATCCTCTTCTTTTGATATCTTTGTCATAGAGCCCCCATTCTTTCCAAGGTTTACCCAAGAGAAACCCGGTTTGCCTTCCCAAGGGCTTCCTATCTTTTCTTGTCTCTGTACTCTCTTGTATTCCACTCTTCTCTATCCTCTCTATCTTCTATCTTCTATCTTCTATCCTCTATCCTCAGCTCCAACAGTACCGTTTTCGGTTATCTTCCAATCCCGAATCTCATCCATCCTCGGTTATCTGTGCAGCCTGATTCGTGCCCCAACTGGGTGTGACGCCTTAGCGCCTTGTGGCCCAACTTGTCTAAGCTGCATGACGGCCTGAGGTTGTTGGCTTTTCACTTTTCGATCTACGGAGTACCATTGGCCCAATCGGAATTCTCTGCACAGTCTCATCACATCTAGACACGGCTCGTGGGTCGCAAACTTGGCCGGAGGCCTTGTTTTCAACAGTCGCGCTCTCTCTCCCCCCAAGTCTGTTTACGCGTCATATGGTCCTTCTGTTGACGGGTGACACTGTGACTTTGGTGCCCTATCGTTTAGGTTATGGGATCGACGCGTTCTACGGGCGCACACTATTCTTCAGTGCTAGCCCCATCAGCCCAGGAGATCATCAGATCGCAGCCCCGTCTGCAACCCTCACCGCTACCACTCCAGCCCATTCACAACTCGTCTTCCCATCCGGCTTCGGGCCCGCACAGGCCATCGCCGACAAAAGGACTTCGTCCTCAGGGCTCCTATTCGCGCCACGGAAAACTCGGTTTCGTCCCCATATCTGCTCCCCCTCCTCCCATGTTTACCACCGACTCCCCAGCCAAGAAAGCGCCATTTCCCATCTACTCTCAAACTTCTATGCCACATTCTGCTCTCTTCACCACCTTCTCCAGCGTCAACCCTGAATCAAAAGAAAACCTTGCCGAAGAACCATCCAATGACAGTTTCGCGGACTTCCCAGAGCCGTCTTATGATCCCAAACTACCGATGAAGCGCACACTCATGGAGGCTGCGCCGCTCAAGGAGCGATCTAACAAGAAACAAAAGCGCGACGACGCGCCGATTGCTTACCTACCCGAACCGCACGACATGCCGCCAGTGGAGGATGATGGCACCAAGCCTCCATACAGCTATGCTACCTTGATCGGAATGTCAATTTTGCGCGCAAACAACCGTCGCTTGACGCTAGCGCAAATTTACAAGTGGATCTCCGATACCTTCTCATACTACAAGAACAGCGACCCCGGTTGGCAGAATAGTATCCGACACAATCTGAGTCTCAACAAGGCATTCATTAAGCAAGAGCGGCCCAAGGATGACCCCGGCAAGGGTAACTACTGGGCCATCGAGCCTGGCATGGAGGCGCAATTCCTCAAAGACAAACAAGTGCGCCGCGCCACCATGTCCAGCCTTCCTCTTCCTGCTGCTCCCCAGAGAGATCTTATCCCTCAGTCGCAAACCGCAAGCACCACGACCTGGATGGTACCACCGCAGCCCGCTTACCACGCCCCACCTCATCACGCGCCTGCCCCCAGGCCGGCCCCAAATGACTTGTCTTCGGATGCTACATTACCTGCGTCTGACCCTGCTCTTCAAGATGATGCGGACGAAGTTGTTCCGGTTCCTGCGCCACGCGCACCGCCTCGTTCCTCTCCACCGCAGACCATTCGGTCATCTCCTCCCATCGCTCCTCCCCGATTTGCCCGCCAGGGTACCCCTCCCACCCCAACTCAATCTGGTCCTACCCCCGCGCCTCGCCCTCGTAAGCGCAAGTCGATTACTATGAATGACAGTGGCTATTTCTCATCCTTGGAGTCCTCGGCTCTCCGACCTAACAAGGCTGGACATATCTTGACATCCGATCTAGATATCGAGCCTCCGCGCATCAAGCGTGGCCGTGCCGAAGAAGAGATCGCGCGCATGCGCAGCTCATCTCACGATGTTAGTCCGGGTCAGCCAGCAGCTCGCAAAAACCCCAACCCACCTATCGGTTCATCGCCTCTCCGCAGCCAGTATGTGAGCATGCAGCCGCCTCCGTTGACGCCTATTATCAAGTTTAAGAAGCCTGCCCGGCCGCCACCATCTGTGTCCCCTAATACCAACCTGCGCAACCATCGCCGAAAGATCCAGCAAATGGTAAACTCGCCCATCAAGCATCTAGGCCTTTCTGAAGATGCCCTTCCTTGGAGCCCTGCTTTCAATCTCCAGGAAGAGAGTTATACTCCTCATGATCATTTCCATACCTCCTTTGATGTTTTCGCGGATCCTGGATCAGCACAGGTATCCTATGGATCCCCCGAGAAGCGCTCAGTAAAGCGCACGCGCACTGGTAGCGGCAACACCGTGCTTTCGGACATCACTTCAGTGAACATCAATAACCGCCTGGGTATGCCCGCGTTGTCCCGCTCCAAGTCAATGTTCCCTGAGTCGCCATCCAAGCTCCCAGACATGAACCGCTTTGGAGACGCTGGCCAGGAAGATTTCTTCTCGTTCCATCTCTTCGACGAGAGCAATGACAGCCCAGGTGAAGTCGACGGTGTTGATCTCTTGCAGGGCTTCCAAAAAATTGGAGGCGTGAGTAAGGATGACACTTTGAAGCCCAGGGCACTTCATCGACCACAAATTGGCCACCGCAGCAATACGACCTTGTTTTAAGACGCTCTTAGTTCACGATTTGTTTTTTTTATTTTTTATTTACAGGTGGGATCTCTGGGAGACCCACCTTGTTCGATTCTGTTTTGTCGTTGATTCTTGCATTATTCTCCCTACTACCCCCCTATTGTCCTCCTGCTTTTATCGCCCTGCAGCCTTTGTTTCTTGATTTTTGGATTATCCTGGAGTTGGTTCTCAGTGATGTTTCCAAGGTCTTGTGGGCGGTGTTTTTCTTTGGGAGTTTTTGGGCTGCGCTGATGGAGCCGGTTCTGACATTTCCTCCACTGAGCCTGGGATGGCCTGGTTACGATATTAATGACGATGCTAAGATGTACATGCAAGCGATGGTTTTTATGATTTGGATATCGGGGTTGGGGCTATCTTTATGGGAAACTACTGGAACACACATTGAAGGCGTTATTTGATATAATGTATGTAGTTAGCAATTTAAAGTCATTATTTGTCTGCTTATCAAACTGTTCCATGAGCCATTCAAGCTGTAAAGGGTATCTGATTGACCCGATGGATCTAATAGAGTAAAAAAAGACATAAAACAGAGATGCATAGTACCGAAACGCCCTATCCAATGCCCAGGTGGATGTGTGTGGCTGACAACCCAAATCCACCACTATCTCCCCGGCCAGATTGAAATCCTCCAGTCACGAACCAATCTCAGCCTCTTTTTTAATCACTGCTTCCGCAGCCGTTGCAGCCACAGCTGACACACTGAATCGTCTGGTCCTCCTTGAGCTGCGCCTTGGGCACTCGGCAGATACACGTAGAGTTGAAATTCGTCTCTTTCGTTTGGACACAGCGCAAACAACACAACTAGGGAAATCAGTTAGTTCAAGTCCACTAAAAGTGCTCCCAAGGGTAAAACTAACCTTCTCATAACCTTGCTTCTTCCACTTGGCGATCAAGTTGGCATCGGCATACTTGTTCTTGAGTAGGAAATCATATAGTTCCTTCGAGATCGCTTCTTTCTCGTAGTAAAGTTCGTAGATGTATCGTGAGCCTGTTAAGAGGGGCAAAAGTTAGTAAAACCGTATTTCTCGATGCGGAGAGGAGCAACTCGTACGTTGATGACTGATCTGGAATATAGGCCAGAGAACTTCATATTTCTTCTTTCCCTCATGCGATGCATTTTCCGCATCCTTCATTTTGTTGCTGAATTCCAGCAGGGTATCTTCGAGATCGTCGAATCCGGCGGGAGGCGGTTTGCGATTTCGGGAAGTGCGAATGGGAGGCATGGCGGGCGATATGTGACAGACAATAATAATAAGACAGATTTAATGCGAGATCCAAAGCGATCCTGTTCGATCGGAGACTGTGTCGACAGGGTGTTTTCTCAAGGTTAAATGAGAAACGAAGGACGCAAGTTGCTATCGATAGGGAAAACTGCGCGTCATTTTTGTGCCGATGTCCACCGCCTTTGATTTTGAATTGCGGTCTTCCTCCAGCTATCCTCCATCGCCTTGCTGTTATCTCATTCTCCTCCCATTTCATATCAATTGTTACTCGCATCTCCTATACCGTCACTATGGAACAACAGCTTGATCTCACTAAGCTCTCTGAGAGCGATAAGAAGGAGCTTAACCAGGTCCTCACCAACGAGGCTCAGAAGTCGAACATTCAGCAGAGTATGTATCCATCTTTCTATCGGATATTTAAGGATCTATACATTATGATCTATATGGTCTAGATTATGGTTCTAGCACTTGATATCATCACTGGAATCAAAACATAGCTAACATCAATCCCTTCCAGCCGTCCACCACCTGAACGAAGTGTGCTGGGAAAAGTGCGTCACCAGCAAGATCACCTCCGGCACCCTCGATAAGTCTGAGGAGTCATGCGCACAGAATTGCGTTGACCGGTGGATGGATACCAGTCTGTCCATCCTGTCCAAGCTGGATAACATGCGCGGCGGCCCCGGTCACTAAGTGTTATGTGTTCTCGGTTTCTGCTACTGTTCCTGATCGCTGTCTGGATGTGATGCATGTCTATGGGATATAAATTACTGTTCATGGAGATTGATTGGGTTGGAGCTTGTCATGCTCTGATTTTGCTCCTTGGATGGCGGTCGGTTTTATTTTGGGGTTTATGGATGGATAGACGGATTGTGGAACCATCACTTGTATACTAGAGTTTCAATTTATGAACCATGTTGTCTTGTACAATATATTTTGGATTTGTGGGGATGTTGTCTGTACAAGTGCTTCATCTCCTTAGGCTGTGACGTTACCATCTTCTGGATTATGGAAGGGGCGTCAGGGTATGCAATGTAGGCCATGTTCGGTTCCAGAATCAGTCCATGTAGACTGGGTATAAATAGACAATACAGGGACTGGGGTAACTGCAACGTCTGGCCTCCTAGTACAACACTGGCAAGGTTGACTCTTGTCTCAATCCAATAAGATCGTTCGACCATTTACACTGTCTCTGGTCAACATAGACTACTAATAGAGAAATCTACAATACTACAATGCACTACGTGGTCTGGAACATGTCTTAGCCATTACAGGACCGACAAGTCCGGCGATTCTTCTGGAATCGTGCATTTCACTTTCACAAGTTATGTTCTTTTTGATCATTCAGCCCGGCTGGTATTTTAGCATCACCGCAGTGTAAAACAAAGTTCGCCAAAACCCTAAGAAATCCCTTTTCAAGCATTCCCCGCTTAGACAATGGCCAACTTGGTGGCGGCAATGTCAAGAGCATCGACATCGGGGGTAAGACGGGCGAAAGCCTTCTTGGTTCCGTCAGGGCTGAGGAGTATGTTAGCTTTCAATCCACATATCTGCAAGTCAAGTAAAACATACCGGATAAGAGTGTTGATCTTGACGGTGTCAACATCGTACAGCTTCTTAAGAGCCTGCTTAATCTGGCGCTTGTTGGACTTGACGTTGACGATGAAGACAAGGGTGTTGTTCTCCTCGATCTTCTTCATGGCGCTCTCAGTGTTCAGGGGGTACAGAACAATCTTGTTGAAGTCCAGAGCGGGGCCGTGGTTGACGGACACGCGGGGGTACTTGGGGGACCGCGACAGCTGGAGGGTCTTGGGGCGGTGGAAGGTGGCCGAGGTGCGGACCTTGCGGGACTTGTGAAGCTGTTGCCACAACCGCGTTAGCGATAGGCTCCAAAAGGGTTTCTTTGGTCTGCTTCATCTTTTGCTACGTACCGAAGCGCCCTTGGCAACCGCCTTGGCGGCGGCGTTGGCCTTGTTCTTGCCTGTAGAGAATATTCGTTAGCCTAGTGAACCGGAAAAAATTTGCTCAAAAAGTTCGATCGTCGATTGCCATTTGTGAATTTGCAGATGTGGATGTGCTAGGTCGAGGATGCTGAATCGGAGGCGCAAATTTGAGATCGGTAGGCATATGGCGATGCAGATGGGTCCTGCGATATGTCCTGGTGTTTCCGGCTCTTTGCGAAGTGATCTCCAAATATCGAAATTTTTGAATCCGAATATCTTCCTCCACATCCACACGGCGAATTCACAATTGGCAAGGCGGCGATCGCAATAGGAAGAGCGCATTGTTATTTGAACATACCGGTCTTGTTGTCGGAGGGGGCCATGGCTGTCGTCGGTCGCTGTCGATGATGGATTATCGCAGTGTCAAAAGTCGAACGGATTTGGAGTGGTCTTCGCTTAGCGAAAACCCTAGTGCTGTGTGTGGGTCAGGTGACTTTCAATCTGCTGGGTCTTGGTATTCTTGGTATTTTTCAGTACACCGCCTTACCGTATGGTTACTTTTTTGTCCAATCAGAATGGACATCGTATTTGGCTCTCTTTTCATTTTCTTGAACAGCTTTTCTTTGCGTGCCAGTAAACTCATTTCCTTTTTGTATATTCGGCCCTCAAGGAGATCCGAAGAAACAACATATTCTTGATATCTGCATCTATCGCCCTAATCTTTGGATCCTTCGCAATCATCAAGACATGGCTCCCCAAAAACGATCCAAGAGGCCGATGTTATTGTCGCATAGTCGGCCTCCCATTGTCAAATCCAAGGACGCTGCTCTTTCAGCCAAGGCTACCCGCACTCTGATTCGATCTCATCATCGACTTCTCAAAGTCCGGGCCCAAGCTCTGGCCGCCGGAGACGAAGCCCGAGTCAGCAGCATTGACGCTCAAATCAAAGCCAATGGCGGTCTCGAAAGCTATCAGATCGCCAGTAAACTAGGTCAATCGATGGACCGCGGTGGAGATTCCAGCAAAGTTCTCATCGACTGGATCAAGCCGCAACTGAAGCAATGGAACAACACCATTCCAAAGATCCGGGTCCTTGAAGTTGGAGCTTTGAGCACCAAAAACGCCTGCTCTGCGCACGCAGCCTTGGATGTCACCCGGATCGACTTGAATTCCCAAGAGCCGGGGATTCTCAAGCAAGATTTCATGGAGCGACCTTTGCCCTCCAGTGACGATGAACGTTTCAACATGATCAGTCTGTCATTGGTGCTCAACTATGTTCCTGATGCTACGGGACGTGGTGAAATGCTCAAGCATTGTGTCAAGTTCTTGACCTCGAAATGCCCTATTGAACTCGTTCCAAGTCTCTTTTTGGTGTTACCTATTGCATGCGTGGACAACTCGCGCTACCTCAACGAGGAAAGGCTGGGGGAAATCATGACTTGCCTGGGCTTCCGTCTAACAGAAAGCAAGCGGACTTCAAAGCTTGTCTTTCATTTATGGGAACACACTGGCACCTACGCACCCAAGGCTTTTAAGAAGGAAGAGTTGAGATCCGGCAAAACAAGAAACAATTTCGCTGTCATTCTCAACAAGAAGTGATTATCTGCATGCAAAACAAATTGCTATTATTATATTCCATGTACAATGCTGCAGGTGGAAACTAGTTTGCAGAGAGCATGTCTTGTGGCAGGAAGGCCCATACAGTCCCCACGGCTGCCAATATCGAGGAGATGATGAGCAGAATCCAATCGAGGATGTACTCACCTCGACTGATCTCCTTTCCAAAGATCTTGAGATAAAATGCAAGAGG